CTCTTGGACAATTTTGGTGACTGCTATCCAAACAAGCTGTTCTGCACCCAAATTGGCCAACAATCGCTACAGATCAGTGGATAATGTTTCTAATTCCCAGACAGATTTAAGTCTCGAAGAATTAAGCCAAAAATAAACTGAGAAAAAAAGCAGAATCTAAGCAGTTTGGAGGTAAGGAAGTGGCAAGGAAAAGACATGATGTCTTCTGAACAGGAAGAATCCCTGCAGGAGCTAAATATTCAAATATGCCTTTGCAATATAAGTGATAAAGACAGAGCAGGTACAACAGAGAAACAAAGAAGCTACTGTAAGATCTCTTAAACCAGAAGACCTGAGGAAGAAATACAGATAATGAATATTTTTTTTTCTCTCAACTCCCAAGTTGAATTTCATTTTGTGTTAGTTTGCCTGCAGAGGATCCAACATACCTGTGGCACACTCTGGCATTTATAGCATGCTTTTCATTCAGATGTATCAAAGAGCATTTCAAACAGATTAGGGAATTACATTAACAGAAGAAGACTAATTCCACCATGACCAATGATGAGAAAGCAGAATCCAAATCTGAAAGCATTATTTAGTTGCTTCTCTTCAGCTATCCAGAAATATGGAATTTGAGGGAAGGCTTAAATCTAAATGTAATTATGCCCTTATTATGTGTAAGCATAGAAATAAAAAAGCAGGAGGATGAAAGTCCAGCTGGCCATGACATTATTTTGGAAGAGTCTTTAGAAGGATCAGATCTGAAATGACACAGAGGCAGTGAGCTCTGGGACTCTTTAGCTGTCTAAAGGCACCAGCAGTGCTTGCTTTTTGGACAAAATTACCCCAAATTCAGCAGAGATAAAAGATCCCAGACCTGCCAGCTGCTCTATTGAGCACCCTGGGGAGTAATTCAGAGAGAAAGCCCCAGGCTCTCAGACTGGTGTTTGACAGAACTTGAGGTGAGACATGAGCACAGGAATCCCTCCCCACTTTGAGATGTGCTTCCCAGGCCAGACCTAAGTGTCTGATTAAAAAAATCCAAACAAACCAACAAGGAGGAAATCACTCTTGGTGAAAAAAGTTTTACAATCCCAGCCTGGTGGTGATTTCTGGTGGCTCCAAAACTGAGGAGGCTGTGCTGGGCAATGACAGTTTTTGATGCAAATGGAAAATCTGGGGGGAAATTCAACTCTGTGTGTTTCCAAAGGGATGCCTCAAGATCCTCTACAGAAAATCTCTATTTGTTTCTTACTTCCATTACTTGCTGACAACCTTCTCTTTCCATGGCTCACCTGTTCTCAGGAGGGATCTGGCCCAGGCCCTAACATTTTGCCAGGTGCTGCTGGTTCTTGCTGAGTTTCCCAGGGATTTCATAGAATTCCACACTGGTTTGGGTTGGAAATTCATCCAATTCCACCCCCTGCCACGGGCAGGGACACCTTCCACTATCCCAGGTTGCTCCAAACCCCATCCAACCTGGCCTTGGACACTTCCAGGGATGGGGCAGCAACAGCTGCTCTGAGGAATGCTTGAGAAATCAAAATTCTTCTATAAAAATGCTAAACTGTTGGCTGTTTAAGGACTCTAAAAAACTGCCCACAATTATGAAAGGTCATAAAATTCTTCAGTGAAATCCATACTCAGCAACTGCTCCTAATTATCAATGGAATTTCTAATGGAATTAGAATGATGCTCTTACTAGTGAAGACAGGGCAACAGTCCTCAAGTAACTCCAGGAAAACATTCATCCCACAAGACTCATCAGAAAGACCTTTAAAGACCTTTAAAGGCAGCTCAGAGGAGAGACTGGGGTTTTTAAGCCAAGTTTCATAAAGAATTGAGGCTGTGTAGGGCAATTACAATCCTAAGAGAAAAATCTTAAAAGGCAGCTTCAAATTCTGAAACACCATGAACTTCATAAATCCAACTCCACAGAAACAATCCTGAAATAAAACCTTACTTCCTTTATCACTCAGAGAAACCATTAATTAAACTTTAAAAGTTAAAATTAATTGCAGAAGTCAATCCAGAGCCAAACTCCTCCAAACAAATCTATGCAAAATAATTGAGCATTAATGCTGCTTTCCAAGGAGGATGCAAATAAAATCAGGGCTCACTGAATTAAGTAAAAAACGTGTTTGAAGTGGATCCTTGGCAAACACACATCTATTCCCATTAGATTTCTCAGCTCTGGCACTTCAGTGCTGCAAACAAATATGGTAGGCTGGATTTTCACAAGGAGGAAGAATTCCCTGGCAAGTACAATCTGCCTTAGTCTTTCACAAGGACACAGCACAAAGCTCTGAGTGCTGACAGATGGAAAGATTGTGCAGGAAAACAACACAGGGAGATACAACTCAGTTTCTCCTACTACTGAAACAACTGCAGAGCACACAGATGCAAAAGTAAATGAGTGTTTGCTAAGCTGCAGGATGACAAAAGTTTGTTTGAATTGCACCAAATACAAGGTAAATATAATCCAAATAGACACAGCATTAGAGTTCTTGACATAGCAGGCCTAGGTGAGAAAGAAATCTAAGCAATACTTGGAAAAACATTTCTACTTGAAGCCACATGAAGCATGCAATGAATAAATCTTCTGCTGTGTGCTGTACAAATGGCTGTGAAATGTTCTTTTGGCAGAATCAAACACCACCAGGAAATGTAAAAGCAATGTCCTGAAGCAGCTCCCAAAGCAGCCATGACAGATGGACATACAGAAAGTATTTCCTGGACTTCAGCTAACAAACCCCAGCCACACAGCACCTCTGCATGAGGAACACACACCTCCTGAAGCACTAAGCTCACTTGGTTTTCCACTGCCAAGCTCTCTCTTGCTTCACTGTTCAGCAGATCAGTAAAGCTTTAAGTGTTTGCTGTATAAAAACCAGCAAATCCTCCAATTTTTAGCTCACATCATTTTTAAGTGAGTAGTCATTAAAACTTAAACACTTGCTCATTGCTTTAGGATCCATGGAATTGAGCTGATAGACAATTAATGGCTCTGGGTATCCATAACTACTGACACACTGACTTCTGTGCTACATGCAGAGTCCTCCAAGCTCATTCATTAGTAAGAGCTTCTTTAAATTCAGCAAGAAAATTCCCATCACCAAACTGCTGAGATTGTACCAGTGTGAGAAGACCATGTTGGGCAACTCCTTGCTTAGTTTACAGGAGACATCGATCATCTTTTTATTCTGATTTATTGAGTTCTACACCAAGAGAGGATGCTGCAGAGCAATGTGGGCACCAGGGATGTCCAGCATTTGGGAAAACAGATGTTGATCACTGCCCAAATTTGTTGTAAAGCCTGCCAAGCAAGATGTGTGGGGGAGAAGTGTAGAATGAGTAAAGCTGCATAAACAAACATATTTCTTTTTAAAAATAATTTGCAAAAGTGATTTGATGCTCACTGGCAGAAGGAAGCTGAAAAACAGCAAGTTCAGTAACTGACAGCTCCTTCCTGGAACTGAAGGAAGTTCCTGGAGGGCTGGAAGCTGAAGCTGCACTAACACACATCTCAGATAAGACAGCTTAACAAACCAATCAATTTCTAGAACTTGAGCTCTGAATTTGACATCTTAGAACAAGGCTATTTCTCCAAAAGCTACAGTTACATGCTCAGTCATACACCAAAGATTTAATGCAAAAATGGAGAGGTGCCTTACAGAGGAAGGGATCCTAACTGCCCCTTCCAGCCTGATCTAACACAAACATTCCCAGCACAGAATCAGCAAGAAGGATTTGCTATCTCTGACGTGAATTTTTCCAGCATCTGCAAGGCAGGAGTCATTTGTGATGACCAAACCCCAGCCTCAGCTCTCAAAAACCACAGGCAAGGCCTGGGATTAGCTGCTACCCTCTCAGGCAGCCAGGCTCAGCCTGGAATGTCAGCAGAGGAATGGCAGGATTTCAAAAAGGGACATCAGTGAAATTGTGAGTCACCTCCCCTGGGAGAAGCACAGAGACAGGCTGAGGTGCAGTGCTTTGGCTGCTCCACACCACACCCTGGCAGGATCTGCTGCACACAGATGTTTGTGTACAGAAGGATTTGCACATCTGTTCATACAGATACTGTACATGCAAGAATATACTACATAGACACTGTTTGTATAATTGTGTTACACGTGTAAACAAATTAATTAGCATTCCCATATGAATCCTATTGGCATTGCAAGTATTTCTTAAAAGCCAGGATGGGACCACAGCAGTGTGACTCCACAACGAAGTATTTATGTAAAATATGACAGCTCTGCCACGGGGAAGCAAAAAAAAAAAAATTCAGGCTGCAACTGCAGCTTTTTCTCTCCCTTGAATTATTTATTCTCTCCACAAAGGCAGCACTGTTTTTTTTTATGTCACCACAAAACACATTATAGAAAATCCAGCCCCACCTGGTGCTATCACTATCAATGAAAAACCTACATTAAATTCAGATAAGCTAAAAAAAAAAATTAAAATGGCACAATATGAATTTTACAGATGCTTATGAGACTGCTAGGAGTTTCACAAATAAAAAATATTTTTCCCCAAAAAATTGTGATTTAGAAGACCTTCAAAAAATGCTCAATTTCCTTTTCATTTATTCAAGCAACTTCCACACAATTAGTGTAGCAGCACCATTTTTGAGGGCTCATCTCTGCTTTTGAGGGAGGTGTGTCTTTTAAATCAGGCAGCACTTTCCTTTCTGTGCATTCCCAAGATTGCCAGTCTCTCAATGAGGCTGAGAGGTGCAAGATAGCAATTTTAATCACCCAGGGCCAGGGGGTGCAATGGGATGGGTTTTAAGGTTCCTTCCAACCCAAACCTGGCTCTGGGATTCCATGATAAAACAAAACCCCTCTCTCTTTCAGAGGTTTGTAAACAATTTTTTCCAGTTTTGCTTTATGTTCTCATCTCAGCCCTGCAAACATGGATGAATACTAGAATAGATACAAGAGCTCATTAATCAAAAAGAGCTGGAAAGATCAACTTGCAATCCTGGCATTTCCTCTTGAAAAAATGAGATCAATTAGGTGCACTGCCTGACTGTATTTTCAATGAACTTTTCAAATCAACACTTGCTTACCTGGAAACTTCCTTCAGTCTTAAAGGTTAACTTCAACAAAAGTGTTGGAAGAGTTTAATTAGAACAAGAGGTCTTGAACATACAAAGTGTGAGTTCCATGTGCTTGAGGAATACATCTATATAGTGTAACATGATGGAATTTTGGAGATGGATACAAAGGAGAAATTGGCATTTTTGCTCGTTTATGTTCACCAGGCCATGTTCTGCTTGGCCCAGCGTATAATGAAAATTAGGATCAGTAAAAAAAAACAAACAGAAGTTTCCACTCCAGATTTTTCCTGGCTTTATTAATATATGCAACATGGAAGAGCTGCCTTTGGAAAGAGACAGAGGAACTCTTTGCACAGGTCTTCTAAGGCAAAGGCCACTCATGTCACCATGCCAAACCAAGTCACCATCAGCTTGCTGCACACAACATGCACGACTTGAAGGGAAATCTAAGCCACAAGAAGGAAAAAAGATCATCTATTTTGGGGCTGTGACCACACTGTGGCCCACAATCCCAGCACACGGTGACTAACACTGCTGTGTGGGGTTTGCTTTCCCAGAGAATGCATTTCTTGTTTGAATAACTGGCTGCTGATACAATGAGTCACTCCAGTACCTCAAGCAGCAGCTCCAGCACTGTGCCTGGGAACTGCTGAGTACAGAATGTGTGTTTGTTTAGGAACAAGCTGCCTTAAATAAACCACTGACTCACCTTGTCACGCAAATGATGCTCTGCAGCCTCAATATTCAAAGGATCGTCAAAATTCAAAAGATCCTGGAAAAAGAAACAGAGGGAACATTGAGGGGCTCCCACTCACTGCATCACAAGGAGCCCAAAAGCCCTCAAGAACAAGATAATGAAACAAAAAGCAAACTGGGCGGTGCCATTTAATCGTTGTCTTGGTGGTGTCCTCGCCAAAGGTAAATGCAAATGAGTAACTGGAAACCAAATCACAGCACAATTAAATGACCACAGCACCGGGGCATTTAAACCCTTCTGGTGTGGGCCACATACAGCTCCATCTGGAAGTGAATTTCTATTGGAAAACTAAATTTTGGAGGAACAGTCAACCTTTCAGGAGGCACAATTCCTGCTGATTTTTGTTAGAGAGCAAAGTAAACCTCCAAAAAAACTGCTGCAAAGAGTGTGGTGATAAACTAGGAGTTTCCCTAATTCCACCTCCATAGGAAAGCAATTTAATCCTCTCTGTGAAGAAGCTATGTAACCTGGAGCCTGACCCTGACAGGGAAGTTTTGGTGCTCTGGGACAAACAGGGCCTAGAGGAAAAAAGAGTGCAAACACCCTGAGATCTAAGGGCATGTGGGGTCAGGGAGTAGAAACAGCCACAACAAACCTCAGGCCTCTCAGTTTAATCTCAAATATTAAGTTTGGAAGGAGAAAGGGTCTGGGGTTAAAAGCAATGGAGAAGAGGCATCATCATTAAAGATAATACTGAATGTTCTGCCTGCAGCCCAGATCTTTCCCCAGTCCAAGGTCAGCCTGTGTAAAAGTGAAATATCACTGCTCCACAATGCCAAAGGCTCCTGGCAGCCCCTGACTCATCTTCAAGCAGCAAACCTCACATTTCACCCAAATCAGGACACCAACCCACCTCATTTTCACTCCCTTTCCTAAATAAACCCCTCCATGAATCTGCCAGACCAGTGTGACCCCAGTGGCAGCTTTTCAAAGCCTAATTATTCACAAGCAGCTGGATGTGAGGGCAATCCAGGAGGGGAGCACAGCTCTTACCAGCCATGCCAAATCCCCATGAGCTCCTAGGCATGACCACCACTCTCTGCAGCTCTCTGCCCAATATTTTTATGTGCAGTTCTGCCCCTGAGGATTTTGCTTCTTTCCACTGACTTGGCATGCACAGGGAGACTGACTGTGAAATGCAACTCACTTTAGCTGGAAAGGGAAATGCTCTCCAAACTTTTACATCGATTTCCCAAAGAAGTTGTTGAAAAAAACAACCAAGACTTGGGATGCCAGGAAATCCAAGTTTCCTTCTACAGCCTGGAGTGGTTGGGGTGGTCCCTCCAGAGATGACAAATGTGGCCACCAAGCTAGTGCTGCTCTTTGCTTTCTCCTGACCCTCCCACTCAGCAGCAATGGCTGAGGAAAGGAATCCCTAAAAAAGGTAACCTGTCCCTCTCCTCCATTTTCAAGGTGCTCCTGCAATTACAGGTTCCTTGCTCTCACCACTCTTTAGAAAAAAGGGGAGGAAAGAGGACCCCTGAATGAAGTCACATAAATTATGTGACAAATCAGTTTTTTGGCAAACTCTGTGGATGGATACCAAGGCCCCTGAATAGGAATGTTAGTGTTCAAAAGAGGAATGAGACTGCAGGGCAGTCATTAATTCCTAAATAGGATTTTTTTTTAAAAGACTAACACAAACAATTCCTTCTCAGAGCAGTATGAATTTTTATTTCCTGCAAATCAGCAGAAGGAGTTTCATACTGTGTAGAAGATCCCAGATAATCTGTTATCAAAATATTTCCTAATATTTCTAATCAAAGTAAAACCCATGTAGAAAAAGTTAGCATTTGAGTCTGGATGAGATCCACAAACAACAGCACAAGCTGATTTCATACTCATTTAACACCCACTGAAGCCAAGGGAAATAAAGACCTAAACTTTCAGAGGCAACAGAGTTAGCATTAGGTGATGCTGAAACTAAACCAGACAGGAAAAAGAAAAGTGGATGTGCAAAATATTCCTTTACTTACAGTAAATAAAGAGTTTAACCCCCAGACAATATCCTGCAAAAAAACCAAAAAACAACACAGTTAGTTAGACATGCATTTCAGGAGTTCTGAACATGTTCACAAGCTTTCTTTTTCTATTAATCCATTAAATAACTGGAAAAAAAAATCTACATTATGAGTAATGTTTCACTAATTTTAATCAAAGTGCTGAAAAAGCTTTCCCATTTCACGGCTACTTGATATTCAGAAGTCAGCAGAAACCAAACACTGCATATTCAAACAGGAGGTCAGATCTTTCTGTGTGTATTCCTGTTGCTCCTCCATTCAAGGAGAGCAGTGATACTTTAGGATATGCCACCAAGTGAAAACTGCACTGCTTAAAGGGTGGGTAATGAAAGTTAATTCAGCAATCTACTCTTAAAATTAAAAAGGGGCCAAACAAATGCTTGAAACTGTCAAAATATCAGAGAGAAGAGCTGTAGTAGGAGTAGAGAAATACTATTCTTACATAAGCATATGTCTCAAGTCATTCCACAGCTAAAATGCATCCTTTACAAGATACAGCCTCAGAGTAAAAAACTTCCTATGCACAGCAAAGAACTGCAATAAATAAATGTCTTTGAGCTTGTTTCCTGTTCTGGACCCTGTGCTGAGAGTGTGGACCACAGAAATCCATATCCCTTAAGGACACTGTCCAATTATGCCCTAATGAACAAGACACGATGTCAGCATTACGCAGCCAACAGCCTCTCACCATCCAATTTCCCTTTGATCTTACACAAACAACCCACTCAGTTTATCTGCTTTTAAAACATCCATCTGCCCTGGCACTGTCAGCATTTCCAGCCTCAGCACCTCCTCAAACGTGGCAAAGACAGCAATTTTCAAACGTGCTCACCACCTTCAGATACATCAATTGCACAAAAGGGGTGACCCAGACATTTAATTACAGTTATTTGTAAATTTTAAGGCTCTAGTGCTGAGCAGTCATCCTTACTCCCAAACAACAATTCTGTCAGTTCCCTGGCAAGCAGGAGAAAATGAATTGTTGCAAAAAACAGATGGAAATCATTGTTTTACAGTTTATTGAAGTTTCTGTGCTTGTTCAACAGCTGGCACAGAAACCAAAGGTCAGCAGAGCATGGTATTAAGAAAAGCTGTATTAATCCTAAGGATAAATTATTAGTCCAATGCAGTGATGTGCCAAAGTCACAGAATTAAGGAAGATTTATTGGCATGGAGAGCCTGGAGAGTAGCAAAAGGCAGAAGTCTCAATTTCCACTTGATTCTCCCACATCCAGGCATCAGCAGCTCTGGGCAACCCCTCTGCCCCAGTAGATGCTCTGCCCCCAAAGGTCAGGAGCCCATTTCACTGCTGCCCTCCAAGGCTGTCTTGTCCTTCAGGGAGGCAGAGATGCAGGAAAAAACAACATTTTTAGAAGTTGCCTTCTACCTACAGCATGAAACAGCAGGCTGCAGTTGCAGAATGTGATGCACAATCACAACACTGAGCATTCAAACCACCCCGAAGACGTGCAAGGTCATGTGAGTACTCTGGGGTCTGGCCATTTCCAAATCCTACATGCCAAACCTGCATTCCCAGGGTTACAAACTGCCCACAGCTGCTCAAGTACCAGCATGGCTAAAAAAGAACAAACCAGGAGCAAGTCAGTGCCTTGTAAAATCCTCAAGAGCTCATTTTCACCTTACACTGAGCTGTGCTGAAGCCCCTGGCCTGCCAGAAGCTCCCCAGACACCAGCAGAGCTCTCTCCTGACAGAACAATAAAAGCTCCAATACTTCACACAAGTAAATGCTGCAGCTCAAAAAGGAGATGTGATGTCATATTTTCCCATTATATCATCAATTACTCCAAAATTCTCATGTGCTGAACCCTGATTTTAATGCTTTGGGGTGCTTGACTCATTCAGGTTTTATTAAAAAACAAAAAGAACCAACAAAAACCTTTCTACAGTCACAAGTTGTCAGAATGCTGTACATCTCCCACTGCCATTCTAGACAGCAAAAAGCATAACAGGATTATTATTATTATTACTGAATAATTTGCCTGTGGAAGTCTTAATACCATTTTTGATGTTTCCATCTATTCAAGTTCGATGATTTGCTGGATTCATCTTATACTCTTGCATTGCTCCATAAAAAATAATGTTAAATTACTACCAGAGGGCAGTTATTTTTTGTAATGAGCTCGAGGCTAGCCTGGATTTAAATCTAGGATATTGCAAAAGGGAAGTGGGATGGAACAGATGAGCAAAAGTGAGGCAAGTATTTGGTATTTGAAAAACTCAACATTGTTGAATTGCAGAAATAATCACTCAGCATTACTGACTGCAGCAGAGCTGCTGGCTGCATGCAGATAAGCACTGGCCTGAATGTTTGCTTTGGGGTTTTCCTGAGCAACTAAAAGGATGTGCATGCCACTGAAGAGCTTGTGAGATTTAACAGCTCAAAAACTTCTCCTTCGCTGTAATAAAGCTTCTGCTTTTTGTACCTGCAGCCAGGGCTGCCAAATTCCCTGAGCTGCTGCATCTGGCTCCAGCTGTGAGCAGGCTCTTCCCTGTTTGGTTTCCCATCAGCTGAGATGTCTCCTGTGGCTCAGATGCCTTTGGCAGTCTCCAAGGCAGGTCTTGCATATGCAAGTGGGTTTAATTCACTAGTTCACAGGAGGCAGTGATGGTGGTTGAAATCAAGAACTGGGGTTCCCAAGCACAGCAGTAGCTGGCTAAATCCACACTGGGTAAGGGGATCAGGGAATAATGAGGGAAGCAAACTCTGCTCCATGGCACTGCCACCATTCTGGGCTGGAGCACAGGGAAGTCAACACAGGCAAGTCAGAAGATCAATAGACTGTTGTAAACACTCCTTTATAATTGTCCCTTTTCATTCTGGACTATTTTTGTGCTGCATCTGAGTGAAAAGTTACACTAAATCCCTGCCCACAGATTTATTTACGGCATGCCAAACGAGGAGAAAAAACCTGCTGCTGCTGCAGTGTCTGAAGTTCAAGAGCAGCGACTCAAAACCCTGAATGCAGCTTTTGAAACAGCCTCTCCTGAGGCCAGGAAGTCTCAAAGCTTTGCATTTTACGAGGTCCTAACTCACTCACTGATCTTGCCAAGTGACAGTTCTCAGAAGCACTTGACAAAAGCAATGCCACTGAAACCATGCCACAGACAAGGGTTTCAGAAACACAACCACAGGCACTTCTGGAGAGAGAGCAAGCACAGAAATTGCAAATTAAGATTTTCCTTTTACAGGCAAAGTATATTTAATACATGAATTTAAGAGAGCAAACCAGACAAAAGCACCTAACAAACTTCCAATCAAAGAAATTCGCTTAAGAGATCTAAGAAGCATTTCTGATCTAACAGATTGACCAAATCAAAGCTCGTTGCAAAACAATTTTTTATAAACAAACAATTTAACCCAGTCAGATGAACAAGAGGAGCAGCAGTCATTTACACAAGCACGTGTCTGAAGCTAATTTTTTTAATTTGTTTTAAAAAGGACTGGAAATGCCACTGCAAAGCTCAGCTTGCTCTAGTCCAGGCCATTCATAGCCAAGTCCTGGGGCAGCTCTCTGCTGTTTTGTCTGCCCATACATCACTCAAGGTGTTTTTCCTCTTCCCTTCCCCTTCTTCCACCATCTCTTCAAAACAATCCCAGCTCCTTCCTCTCTTCACTGCACCAAGCACACCTCATCCCACCCCACCAAATGTATCACTGGTTCTGGGGATCAAAAAAAGCTGTTTTCTTTCTACAGACATAGGCCCTTTTTAGCTTAGGAAAAAACGTCTTTCCTCCTAAACCGTCATCTCCGAAATAAATTTCCCCTCCTGCTCCTCTCTAATCTTGCAGAAGTTGAAGAACATCGTTTCCACCTAGACAAAGGTGAGAAAGTGAATGCCACTTTTTTTTAGGCACCCCAGTTGTCATGTGCCTGCCATCCCTGTCCCTGCTTCCCACCCGAACACAAGAACAGCTTCCTCCAGGGCTTTGGGTAACTTAAAAGGCATGAACTGCTCCAGTTAGCAAACACAAAACCAGGAGGAAGGCTGCAAAAACCATTTCTTTTGTACTTAAATATTGGAGGGGAAAGAAACCAGGAACAATTCCAGCCTGTTCCTCTCCCAGATCAAGCCAGCTGTGAAGTGCCAAGTATGCAGGAGCACTCCTCTCAAATCGATCACTTTGTCACTGACTCCTTGACATTCCTCCCTGGGGTTACTGCAGGACAAGGGGATAATGCTGTGGAAGTTATTCCCTGGGGAATTCTCTGATAGATTCTTAATGAACTACACCACAGTGATTACAACAACGAAGCCATCACCCTCTGGAGATCAGTCTGCTCAGTGCATTAAAGCTGACACAAATTGAATATTCAGAAATCAACAATTTGAGGAGAACAAGCATGGTTTAATTACATTTACTGAGGTATCTCAGCTCTCCTGACTCACATGCTTAGAATAACAGCTACTGTACCTAAACCAAAGATTTGGCTCTGCCAGGGGACATTAAAGAGAGAAAATTTAAATTCTGCAAATCTTTTCTGAAGCAAAAGCTATGAGTTATATATTTTCACCAGCCTGGCCATGTATGGAGGGGTGTCTTGGCTTGAAATAAATCACTTCTTATTAAAATGATAAAGCCATTTTATAATAAAGTCAAAATACAACACAATATATGCCCGGAAAAGTATTTCCTGAAGCTTATTTTAACAAAAAACTCAACGTCAGATCTACACAAAAGATTGTCTTCAGTGCTTTATAGCTTCTCTTTCTAAATACTGGGCCTGAAGTTTTTTTCTGAGGCTTATTCAATTTTTACAAGTGAAGAAGACACATAAAAAGACCCGTTCCAAAACAGAATTTGAATAAATCAACAGCTGTACAATGTTACCATAATGCTATGAAAAACTGCCTGAGCAACAAGAATTAATGTGAGATAAAGCATACAGGTTTCTTTTTCCCCCTCATCCTGAAGACACTGACAGTTATTAAAGCACTCCTCTACACTAATTGCAGATGATTTGACAGCAGACCATCTCTTTTCTTTAAGATGATGGGTGAAAGTTTTGTACTTTCCAAACTCCTCGGGCTGATAATTAAACACTGAGGTAAACTGGAAAAATTAAGTCACGACCCTCTGATTGATTTCTCCAAGAGATGAGTTTGACATTTGGATGATCCCAAATGAAGTCATTCCACTGCCTGACAACAAGGGCAGAACCAGTGAGCCACACAGGACAAACTGCCATTTAGTATTAAAACACTAATTCAATGAGCAAAGCTCTTAAAGATCAACTCCAAGTAGCAATAGTTTACTGGAAATGAGTCTTAATTCCTTTTAGATCAGGTAATCTAATAGCACAGACAGATATTTATTAACCTAGGATCTGGAGTTATGGCAGAGAAATTCCTGAAAGAACAGTGGTTTCCTGTAGGTGGGCATGAAAAGCTGTTTGCAGATCTGGAGTTTAAGAGTACCTGGATGTTTGCCACTCCTGCTCCTGTCTCTCCTGCCAGCAGTAACACAAAAATGACAAAACCTAGCACTTCAAACCATCTCAGTGAAAACCTGACATGGACACACACCTAACAAACATGGAAACCCTCCAGAAAACAGCCCAGCCATCTCTTATCACAACACAGCTACAAAAAGAAGGAAAGGGGTGAATACTCCCTGTGAACATCCACTGCACATTTTCAAACACTGGTTTTAATGTTCACATGCTCCAGAGTTGCCCAAGTGTGCTTTGATTATTTTTCAAGTCTATCAATCAGCCACTGATTTATGAACCAATTTTCATAAAATTTCAGAGTTGCAGTTAGAGGTAACTGCAGGAGGAGCCTGATTCTTAGAACCAATCAGGCATTTAAAATTCAGGTCTTAAAATCAATCACCTGAGATGCTTTTATAGCAAAATGAAAACAAGCATTTAGGACAAAGCTGAGGATTATTAATGAGAACTAACTCAGCTAGGCAGGTGATAATCCTGGCAAATAAGGGACATGCTGAGGACTAACAAGAGCTGCTAAAGGACTTTGGAGTCTGAAATTGAAATTACTGAAGGGTACAAAACAGTAGCAGAGTAACAGCAACACTGTGAAGTCATATGAGGTATTTAAAAGCTGGTATTTCCAATGACATTAAAAAAAAAAATCTGAGAAACTCTCATTTTGACCATCACACCTAAAAAACAGGAGAAAATCAAGTTCAGACACTGAGCAAGGCCCAGAGTAACTGCAGCAGTCTCCAGCTTTGTGAACAAGCTGTTTGAGAGAGGAAAATATACAATAAAATGATGCAGAACGTGACAGAATAGAGACTGAAAGGTAAATAAGCTCCTGTTGCCAACTAAAAATCCACAATCAAACCACCTCCAGAAATTATGTAAAGGTCTGGGCTTCTAGAGTGTTTCCATGAATAAAAAAAAAAAGTGATTAAAAAAGTGTATATATAGCCAGGCTGGCATGTTTAATGTTTTAAACCTGTTTCAGAGTAAGAGCTCAACTCTGCTCAGAACCTGATTTTAAAAAGCATCTAAGGCAGGAATTCAGAAATAGCACATTTTTAGTGCCTTCACTCATACACAGGCTGCTCTTCACAGTGGCCCATGGAAACGTGTTTCCAAGCACAAAGAAGGGGAAAAAGAGAAAGCTCAACACTTGGTAACCTGAAGAGAATTCAATCATGGATGAGATAATACCAAGAGTGAAAAAATGCTGGGAAACAAAACTGAGTTAGATCTTCCCTCCCTTAAGAATCCTCCACACTGTTAAAAATATATTTTATCAGCTTTTACAGACAATTTAGCAGATTTTCAGTTTTATTTCAGAAAATTTATTCATGTTTCTACCCATTTGATACTAAAAAGAAAAAAAAAAGAATTAAAAAGTCCCAGCAGTTTATTTTGAAGGAGTTTTTTCACATAAGAACTCTGCTGCCACCACAAGGATTCCAAAATGAGACACAATCAAAAACCTGACCTTCTAAAGGGTTAAGCACACAAGCTGCAGCTGCATTCAGTATGGTTTGTGCATGAGGCTGCTGTGTGTATTCTCTATTTGAATGGCTTTTCTAAGAGTTTTTGTGGCAGAAGGACATGCCCACTCTCAATTTTATTCTTTAGGAGTAGCTCAGAGTGCTTTATTGGGCAGATCTGGGTGTTACTCCTCCAGAAAACCAGGCTGACTTCATATTATTGATGAATGAAATAGTGACTTTCAAGTCCCTAACAGAATTACTGCCCACAGTGCTTCTCTGCAAATTCTCACTACTCCCCTTGTGGTGATGAAAAGCTGTAAAAAGTCAACTCACAACTGTGGTGTTTCAATGTTAAAAAATTTTAAAATCCAAGGAGGACATCTGATTTGATTTCTTTTCTTTTTGAAGTTCAGCTACTACTTCATTTTCTCTTGCTGAATCTTTCATTCCAATAATCACAGAAAAAGCTCCTGTCTGTGGGGTTCCTTGTCCACTTGTACTGATTTTTTAATGGCTAAAGCTTAAAACTTATAGCCTAAAAATTTTCTCTGAATAAAAATACAGGAACAGAACTAGTTAAATTACTCAGTGCCTTGATTTAACATGAGATAAAAACAGAAGCACAAAGGGCAGAATAAAATCATATCAACTGATGAAAAAATAACAGGGAAAGACTGCTTTAAGAAAATCCACAAAATAACACACTCATTTTATTTCCAGAAAGCCACATGCTCACCTCAGAAGAGATTTTACAGATGAAGAAAGTCACAGGTCTCATTCACAGTGTCAAAAAGTAAACCAAGTATCAGATAAAGGTCACTTTCAATTTGGATTTTGAAAGAAACAAACACCTGATGGACACTCTTTATCCACCTAATGTTGTTAAAGATCTGGGAGAAACAATTCTGGCAGCATTCCTGGGAATAGCACCAGGCTCTGCAGTGATTTTGTCAGGACTGTCAATCCCATGGAAATGGCCAGGGTTATGGACTGCCCTTGGGTGAAAAGCAGCACACCTTACACAGTGTGGCTTCTGAGTCACCTCCAAAACTTTTTAGCAGAGCAGCCCTCGTGCAGCCACACCAAAGCCACCAACATTTCCACAAGCAGCACTGTACCTGTTCCACTGCTGCCACCAACATTTGCTGGAAGACAAAAACCTCACCTCAAAAACCCTGCTCTTGAGCAAACCACGTCAGCTGTTTCTTTCCAAAGCCAGGTAAAAAAGATTTTGACAGATGTATCTAGTTTGATGGACACATCCAAAAGGAAACAGTACCTTTAAGGTTCTGGTTGGGGCCCAGCCAGTGCCATCAATTGAGTGCTCTCTCAATAAACTGGAAAAAAAGCAAAAAACAACACACACATATTATACAGAGCCATTTCTGGTTAAACTGCCTTTGTCAGAAACCTTCTCAGAAAACATAAGGAAGTAATTGCAAGATAAGATCTAATTCTTACACTATTTATATTCAGGTAATGGAATTTTAATCCCCAGGAGTTGGATGTCTGCCTAAAATTACCTTCTACACAGTGTCATTACAGAACTCCCTATCTGAGCTCAACCTCTGTCAAAACACCTGAATTATTTTCCTCCAGCAGCACAAGTGTGACAGGCTCAATACTGAACCCTCTTTTTATTCCCTGATGCATTTTAGAACATGTTAATCTCTGGTGAAGAGACAGCCTTGCAGGATTGACCCATCTCTCACCAAAACTGGCACAAACCAATCCAAAAAAAAGGTGTTTTGGGGAGGGATATCTAATTAGCAAAGAGAGGATCATCATCATTCTGTGAAAGGATTTCAGCTTCATACAGGTAAAGATAAAAAAGTGAAAGAGTTTTAATCTATCTGCTGTGGAGGAAAAACTTCCTTTTAAAATATAACTTGAATTCTAACATGAATATTAACATGTAAAATACAGAATTTCCTATATGCACACACCCATATAGAAATTCTATATGACCAGTATATTGTGGTCCATGTTAAGCCCAGTGAAGCTGCTGACCTATTTGCAACTAGAAACCATTGAGGTGTTCAGGCATTTCTGGACCTTTCAGATCCAAACCTCAGCAGTTACAAGAAGGAGATACATTGGAGATCAGAGCACAATTGAGAAATAAGCTCAGGAAGTCTTGCTCAGAAAAGTAATAATCTGAATGAAAAAAAATCTCAAGAACTCCTTGAGGCATCATTTCACCATAATACCTTAAGGTGTAATCCACAAAGAATAATCTAAAACTCACAACTCACACAGCAAAGCATAAAAATTCACCAGCAGCAGCAGCTTCTATACTGAAATAAGAGGGTTAAAGTGAAATATCTTAAACTCTTAGGTTTTAGCATTTCCAGGCTGACGCATATGAAGTAATTTTTAAATTACAGTGGCTGACTAGACCATACAGATTATGTAGTTATTTAATGAACATGGCAAGTTCATAGCCAAGGAAATTCAATCCTTGTTCAGTGCAGAGATCCCAGGAACAGGATGATCAACCTGGACAAGCCCATTCCACCTTAACTGTGCTGCTCATCTCATTTCTGTGCCTTTAAAAAGATAAAATCTGCCATTACCACTCGTGCAACGTTAAAAGCAGCATCTTGTGGCTGCAGTTTGTGCCCATATGACAAAAGAAAAGAAGCTTGCTTTTGGTCTGTTCCTTATTAAATTGTGTGGCAGTGCTTCCTTTTGCCTCTCCATGCACCTCACTGCCAAATTCCAGGCAAGGAGGAAGTTAACACACCAAATCAAATTATAAAAGTATTCAGTGACAGAGCACCTGAGCATGAGCTAAGCCTCAAGAACAGCCCTGCAGCTTCCCAAGGCCTCAGAGCTCTCCTGGCACATCTCCAGCTGGGGACACCACAGCCAGGATTGAGGAGACACTTGTACCTCTCAGAGCACTCTGGAAAGCAGTGAAGTCACAGAATTATCCCTTCAGCTTAATACTCCTCATTTGATAGAATTTGTTTCTAGAGCAGCATCCTCTTTCTTCTCCAGACTGGGAATGATCATTAATGGGTCTTTTCCCAGACCTCCCAGCCTATGATTACAAATCCTTCTATCTGGGTTCCTATGGGCACACTGCAAAATCGCTGCTTTTGAACTTTTTAGCATTCAAAACAGCCACTGATGTGACCAATCAGCTGCCCAGCTTTCATTTCAACAAATACCTTCTCATTCTGGGAGTAATTCCTGCATGGAAGAAAGCTGTGAGGAATTTTTTCTTTTTAAATACACACAATCCTAAAGAGATCTTTCAAAAGGATCTTTCAAAAAACACCTACTGAAAGGGGAACTGCATGACTCCAGTAAATGTAAAACCTTCTGAATCTGCAGCTGAAGTCAATACAATATACTGCAAGGGGGAGATCAGTCCTGGAGAAATCTCCATGTTTTCTATCCCCATATGCAGTGGAGGTGATACCCAAACCTAATTAGTATCTGTCATTAATAATGTGGTCCAGGGTAACTGCAGTCCATAAAAACATCACTTTTCCTACCCAGAACTGTTAAACCTGACCACAAGTTTAACCATGTAGAATGTTTTAATCCAGACTGTCAAACAGAATGAGGTGTGTGGGGGAAAAGCACTGATGAAGGTGTTTTTTCTGCTTTTAAAAATAACTGAAGCTATTTTAATGCAAAGACTCTCATGTAAGTTGATTGCAGATACTATACATAGAATGCATTTTCTAACAGGCATAAAGCAATTAAGTTATTTTCGTTTTTTCATCCAATGCCAGACATTTCCAAGGTTTGATATCTTAAGGTATCTGACAATCCAAACTGTTTGAGTGTGGATGTTGAACAAATGCCTTCACTTCATTAGAATTATGATGCTCCAAACACCACATTTATCTCTTGTAATTCAAACCATTTCAAGAGATGGAAAAGTTGTGACTGCCCCATCCCTGGAAGTGCTCCAGGCCAGGCTGAATGGATCTTGGAGCAACCTGGGATAGTGGAAGGTGTCCCTGCCTAAGGCAGGGGGTGGAATGGGATGAGCTTTAATGTCCCTTCCAAGCCCAGCCACCCTGGGATTTAATGAATGTGAGGCTTTAGTGAAGATCAGAAGATGCTGTGCTCTAGCTGGAGCTTCAGCTCTGGTTTGGTGGCTGGGATTTGTTGTCCCCTGGTTCAAACAGCTCACTTGTTCATTCCTTCACTTGCACTCAGAACACCTAAGCCTTCTTAAGGCTGATGTGCTTGACCTGCCTAGGAAGGGCAATAAAAAAAAACTTCATTTTCACCAGGACCTTCAACACAGCATAGAAATGATTCTTCCATCTAGAGGAAAAATCCAGCTTCTCTTTAAGCACTATACACATGGTGCCAACCATGCTGGATTTTCAGAACAGCTTTCAACCTCACAGGCTTTGCTTCTGCTTCATCTGCTTTTTCTTGTGTGTGCCATTAACTTGAAAAATGACAGGCAAGCTTCTCACTTCTGTTTGGTTTCTGGCCAATTTCACCATCAGGTATCGAGGATGAAATTGTGAAGTTTCACAGATTCATTTGCAAGAGGAAACATTTACAATCAAGGAAAACCACTCAGCAACAGAAGCCTCTCACTCTGGCAAAGTAAAGCTTTCAGGTTTCATATCCTGACTTCTCCTGACCCCAGCCCTGCTTTGTTGTAACTGGCACGTGTCTTCTTAGCAGATATTAAATGTTATAATTAGCAAATGGCAAAGAAAGAATAATTACTGTCCAAGTTTAAGGAACACTTTTTCCCTTCCTTTTTGAAATATAAAGGATTTTCAAGCTCTTAACACGCTTGGGAATTAAAGTAAAGCCTCAAAGCCTCCCTCAGGGCCTGAAGATGTTTCAGTTATGAGGGAGGGAAGAAAAAAAAACTCAGCTACATTTTGTTTAGGCTGGAGTTTACATTTTTACCCCAAGTAGAACAAAAATACTAAGTCTGAACTTGAAAACTCAGATTCTACATGGTCCCTACTGCACAGCAAGAATGAGACTTTCAAAAGATTTTTATGCTCCTAAAAGTTCCATGAAGAATCAGCAGAAAAAAATACTGTCAACCACAGTTGCATTCAGTATTTTATCAAACAGAGCAACCTCCAAGGTTAAAAATCTCCAACAGAATGTTGTTCCTACCTTAGGCAGATTTCTCCTGTCTCTGTAATGTTTGGGTGCCAGATTCTTGTCAAACATTTTACCTTTGGAGGCTGCCAGGAGAGAAAACAAATCACTGTGTTATCCTTTAAGATAAAACCCTGTTATAACTCATAAAACAGAAAAAGGCAAATACATTTGATATTCAGAGCCTGGGTCTGTATGTTTAGAGCAATGATAGATAATCTACAAGAATCAAACCAGATTTCTCTGCCCTTTTAGCTTTTCTCAAGTCTTCATAAAAACCAGGCTGGTATTAGGCTTTTCCTTAGAAAAAAAATAACTTTTAAGAAAGCCAAGAAAATTTACTCCTTCAGGGAAAAGAAAACACTCTAAGTCATTCAGTCTCTTCATACTTAACTTACTAAGACAATAATTTAAACCACAAAACTTCACTGAGGCTTGTCCAAATCAGGGATTTGCTGAAGAACAGCAGAGGATGCAAAGATAACAAGTTCACCAAAGAAATAACTTCTTTTAAATACACACCCTCCTGTGCCCAACTGAACAGGAATGCATCAAAGCTAAATTTTAGACACTAAAATGAAAAGCCACAGGTAAGATCACCAAATTTCTGAATTTCATAGCGGGGTTCTGAAATACAGATTTTTAAAGTGTAGTCTCCTTTGCTCTAATTTCGTGAAGTAAATAAAGAGTGGGACATAAAAATTTCAGTAGCTTAGCAACAGCACGTTGTGCCATCCCTGTGCTCTCCCCATTAGGACTTGCAGCTTTCAATCAGGCAGATTATTTGTGATAGGAAGTGTCCTGGAATCCATCAGCACACAGCAGCACCTTGCAGGACTTTAATTAAATCACACATTATAAATGTGGAGCCATTTCCCTCCACCTTTTCCAGTGATGTCTTCAATCCAGAGGCAAAACAGCTCAAAGAGCTGTATTTGCATGGCAGCATCATGTGTTTTGTCACATTTTGTTCCTAACTTCCCAATCAGCTTTTTAAGAATTTTTTTAAGGTAAGAAAATATGAATGACACTAAGATATGCGAGATAAAGAGATGTTCACCACAACAAATTTGGGATTGATAATGCAGATTTTGCCTTTCCTCCATTTCTGTGCAGTAACTCAAGGGACATCAGTCATGGCATTATTGAAAATTAAGTAGCTCAAAGAAAACAGTCTCAAACTTTTTGACCTCCAAAACATCTCAGAAGTTTTCTAAAAGCACAAGCTTTTAATTAGCTACACTTTTACATTGTTTGGAAAGATAGTGTCTAGTTCTCAGGCAAGGGAAAGCAGCAGAATTTATTCCATGCCATTAGATCAAGACAAAAGAATAAATTTCTACCATATGTACCTTCAAACAGGAAATGTATTGATGAGTCAAAAAAAAGCTTTATAGAAACTCTTTTAAAAAAATCCCCGAATCCTCACAGTGAATTAACTGGTGTTTCATTTTTTGTACTGTGGAAACAAAAGAATTCCTTTATCCTTTCAAAGTGATTTTCATTGCTAAAAGTTAGAAAAACCCACTCCTGACAATAACACAAAGGTTTTTCTCTCTCTCCTTTTTCCCTTTTAGACAGACAGGACAACTGCAGCACAAACATAAAATTTTATCTTCAGACAAAACTTTTCCTTGCAACTTGTTCCAAGTCAATTCTGAACACTCCCCAGACGAACAAATCCAGATATTTCCTCAGGATGATGTTTCACTTGAACACTTGTGACACTCTGCACAACAAAGCTCCCAAAATCCATTTCCTTCCTTGCTCAAGCTCCTTGCCTTCACCCTCAGCTGCACAGGTAGATCCAGCCTCAGCAGTGACCACATTCACTTCCTTCTCCATTTCCAAGCAGCCACTTCCCTCATTTAAAATTAGCAGTTCCAGGTCTTGATAAATTAGCACTTTATAAGGACAGGTGTACCAACAGATCTTGTAATTTTATTTTAAATTATGGATTAATTGTATCTTTAATTTGATCATTTTGATGTAGCTCTAACTCTTCACTAGTGAAGGAATTTACCTAGAGAAGCAATGTGGCTCCTAAGAGAAATCTGGAATCAATGTTAAATTTGAAATGCTTTCTCCAGAAAGCAGCTAGTCCCAAAGCAACTGCAACTACAACTCTACCCTGCAACTGCAAGCTCTTCTCTTCACAGTTTGTAAAAAACATAATTCCCCCAGGAAGCCCTAATGGGGACAGGGGTTCCTGGGGGTGAACTGCATTCCAGCCCTGAGAGATTTCTTGCCACTTTCCACCAAGAACTTCCCAAGACTGGCTGAACCTGAACACTACACAGAGCAAAGCACTGAGTGGTTTGGCTGCTGGCCACAATACAAAATCTTCCAGGTTTCTCCTCTTGATTTATTTTATGCTCCTCCACTCCATCACAATTCCACATATGCACTCCTTTTGCCAGTGCAGAGGTGTGATATCCCAACCTGTGAGCTGAGAGAGCCCTGGCAGGTCTGCAGAGCTGTCCTGAAAAGAGGCAACGCTTGTTTCAGTCCCATTCTGCCTGGCAGGAAACAAACCACAGCCTCAGCATAATTCCCTCAATATTGGGGAACACATATTTGCATTAATAGCCTGACCACAATCCAACATTCCACCTCCTGCATTTTTCCAAACTTTTTATTTTTGTATTGGATGAGAGGTACTCAAATTTAAAAATATTTCATTAACATTTGCTGTAGATTTTCCTGCCAGTGCTGAGCAGGGAACCTTAACAAACCAGAAGCTTTTTTATTATAGGAATTGAGAATCAAAATCTCAGATCAAAACTGAACTTCAGCTCTCCTATTAACACACAGAAAACACTTTCCTGCAGCAGTGCTGGTTAGGTGAACAACTGGAATACAAAAATCAAAGGAAATAAAATGACTACACAAAAGTCAGTAAGGGTGACCTCTGTCATAGAATGAAATTCTTTGGTAAAGTTAAGGGGAACTTAAAACATCCCACAACCAAAGCCACAGACCTGCAAACACTACCTAGCTGTGACTGCAACTACCACACACAGATAATGCTGAATTGACCCTCAGCACAGCTGAACAGGAACCAAAGATCTTCCCTGAAACTCTTCTCCAGGATCCTCCCCACACATGCTTCAGCCTCTCTGAAAGAACTCTCAACTACCAACAGTAAGACAACAGAACATAAGAATGGATGGGAAAATACAGAACTGTCAGTCTTTTCCTTTTGGTTCACTTATTCTTAAGATATAAAACTTTTTAATGAGAAATTAAATGCAGGTCTCATGAATAATTAACAGGAGAGAGCAGAACCTCAGCCAGAAGGGAGGACACTCAGGTCAGACTCATCTGCACTTCCAAGAACTTCTGCCAGACAGTTGCAGAGACTTATTTTATTAAGAGAAAGAAGACCCTTTCTCAGTCTCAATGCCAAGTTCCCCCTGAAGTCCTGTTACCTGCAAAGAAAATCTAAAATGACAACTATCAGACTAATGACAAATACTCACCACCATATTGTAGGCATCAGGAACTTCAGTTTCAAACTGAAACTTTCCCCCTTGGTAGTAGCCCTCATCTAGAAAAGGGAAAACAATGAAAATAGTTAAATAAGAGAAAAACACCAAGATTAAAACAACAGCACAGGATTATCACCAAATACTTAAGCTGGTTGCACTACCAGCTGCCACCTAATCCAAGAAGTGTGTGAGCATTCCTGCTGTCCCAACATTTTTACAGCAGGAATTTGAAGTCAGGGAGCCAACAGTCCCAGAAAAATCCACCATCCTGGTCACAGGAACAGGGATACCCAGCTAGAGGAACCTTGGACTGAACAGGAAGAAAATCCTGGCACATGGCAGGCAGTACCACACCAGTGACCTTTGGAAGGAGCTGGAGAAATCCTGCACTTGCTAATGTATTGCTAAATCCTGCTCCAGCACTGAGCACATCTTCCCAAATTTGTGCTGGCAGTTGTGGTGAGCAGTATGAATGATGTGTGCAAGAGCATGTTTCAGAGTGTACTGCAATAAGGGCAAGCAGGCTCCTTCATTGTAATTATCTTCCTGTGATGTATCTGCTAGGAAAACATGTCTGCCTCTCTGCCAGCCTCAGTCCTGAGCTATTAAAATGGCTCCATTTTCAGATATGACATATTAAAATATCTACTTCCATTTAACCAGGACTAATAGAATGGCATGACAGTCAATGCAACTCTTGAAATAGCTGTGCTTGGAAGCTGAAATGCCTGCAAGTGATCTGAAATTTGTCTGGCATTGCCATTACTGAAGTTTTTCATTAAAAAAGGGAAACAGGTACCCAGCCCACACTGGGGGTTTGAGACATCTGAGGGATGCTTTGGCTTAAACCACCTTGAGCACTCCAGCCCCAGTGAATGCCAGGAGGGCTGGTTAGCACTTTATTATGCAGGTTTTTATATTTCTTAAATCAACACTGCAAAGAAATGCTCTGTGAAACAATCCATAGTTTACAGAAAGACTAAGAAGAATTTTGTTATTATCTAGTTTGTTTCAAAGCACAAAAAAACCCTAGCTTGTCTACTGGAGGCCATCAAAATCCTCCTTCAGGTTGCTTGTCTCCTGATCTGCTTTTCAAATCCCTTCTCCATTCCCACTCTGATTAAATTCTGAAGTGTGCTGGATTTATTAAGCAATTTTAGGCATGTTATGCTTTACCAGAAAGTAAAGGGACATGCACTGATTCTTATAGGAAAAAAGTCAAGATAAAAGCATTTATTTTTTGTTTTTAAATATACAGAGATAAAAATCAGCAAAGCATACTGATATAATGGCTTCAGTAAAGCCATTACTGAAGAACAAGAAGTGAGTTACACTGATACTCTTTGGTAAAGTGTTCCCTGTCAAATGTGCACCACACTCAGAGTGAGACACTGATCCAGAAAGGAATCATTGGGAAAATGGTCCAATATCCCCTATGAGCTCTAAACCACATTTATCCAAGAGAACACAGACAGCTGACTGCACTTTATCCACCACCTAGCACTGTAAAACATTTTAACCAAGTGTCAGGAATTATCACATTTCCAAGTACAAAAGTTATTTTCCTTGGCTTAATTTCACTAGTTCTTTGATTTGCTGGACTTGGAGCAAAGCATGCAGCAGCTCTTCACATTGCACCCCTGCTAAAATGAAATAAATGCCTGCTGATGGATGCATCCACACATGTCTTATGTCAAAGGAAATCCTCAGGATTAATGAACACACTGCAATGGCTACCCAACAGAAACACTCAAGAACTTTCAGATCAGGTCTTCCTCCAAGACAACTCAATATTCATCACTGCCTCACACTACAAATCATTTTATTGACACCAATCACTCATCAAAAACCACACTGGGTAAGCTACTGGCTCTGCTATCAAATAAGGAAGGATATATTTACACAATTAGGACAGCAAGACATCTCCCCTCTTTTACACAATGTTTGTAAAGCAACAAAGCTATTCATTACCAATCATTCAAACATACATTAAAAATTCTGGAGAGCCTCAGCACCCAGCTAGAAATCTTGCACTGCATTAACAAGATAACCCTTCACAATGAAGTCATCTTCCAGCATTCTCAAGTAAATAGGTTCTCAATAGGGACAGAAATCCTCAATTTTTTAGGCATAGAAAAGTGGTGGGAAAAAAGTTCTGGCAGAATTCACAGTGAGGAAAGAGCTATAAATAAACACATCAAATGAAACAGCTTTAACACATAACTTAGGAAGTTGGCCACAGAGATTTTGTTAAAAAAGGGAGGATGTCTGAGCCACAGTTTTCCTCCTACTGCTTAAATTTATTTCTTCAAGCTGTATTAGCAGAGCAAGCATCCCTCCCACTTCAGTCTCAAGTTTCATTACCAACAATCTGCCTAATCTTAGCTCGTGTTTGTAGGGTGTTTTAATGCCTGAAAGTGCTCTGGAAAACACTTAAACAAATTATTTCCTCACTTTGGAAGAAAATGCAAAATAATTAGGGCAGGCCACAAAGGATGCATTTTGGCTAGTAGCTCCCTGAATCAGCCATGCTTAGCAATATTTGTGGGCATTTCACCAGAAAACAGGGTCTTTACTAATCCCCCTAGAGTGGCACTCAAACATCCACACCAACCAACAGCCTGGGAACTGCAGGGAAATTGCATTTACTGCACTTGCTCTTCTGGGTTTTTTTCACATATAAGCTACCCAAAGTCACCTCCTTTATTTTCTTCCAGGTCATTACCATGTTTTAGTCCTCAGCTTCCAATTTTGTGCTCCAAATACCAGTGCAGCAAGGCTGGACTCTAAGCATCTATCTCCTTATTCTCCCTAGATTTTAATCTAATATGATACTGGTGCAAAAAATAAGAACAGAGGCAAGTGGTGGCACAAGGGTATTTTTCAAAGGCAGAACAACTGTTTCAGGGAAGAGAAGCTTCAGACAGCAGAGAAAACCAGCAGTGTCTGCCTTGGGAACACAGAGTTTTGTAATACAAGTCTTGGTCATTTTCTACCATGTGCTGCTAAATATCCACTGATGGTACACTGCAGAAAACTGCAGGGATTGGGATCTCTTCAATTATGTAAAAAAAAAAAAAAAAAAAAAAAAAAAAAAAGCATCCACCCTCATCAAAATTTTCTACAAAATCATTTTAAATTAAAATTTACTTCCTGTCACCGGGATCATTTTGTGACATTAAATACCGGCTGAGAAAGGTTTTTGTGAGAGGTGCTGAGCAAGGGGCCTGAAAGGATTTCTGCTTGGTGGTCAAGTTTATTTTCTTATTCAAATTAGTCTTTTTGTGAAAAACTAAGGAAGCTTCTTGTACTGTCCTTTCAAGACCAGCCACATTCAAAATGACTGCACAGAACAAAGTCAAGATTCATGGAATACTGTTCAAACAATACAAAAAGAGTTGGCTCAAGCAGGCTTGAGCCACAAAACTTCTGTGACAACCACTCTGCTGCCTCAAGGAAAACTAAAGATTTAGCACACACTAGAGAAAACTTCAATATTGAAGAGAGGCAGAAAACTACAAAGATCTTCTTGGTCTGTGTTGTGTTCTGCCTTTAGAGTGCTAAGCCGTGGCTGATCACAAGATTCTACACCTGAATTATGCAGGGCTGAAAATAGATGTTTACTTGGGTCAGGCTGCAACTGCAGAGACTTCAGCTGTGCAGTTATATTTAGAGTAACAAAATGTTAATTAAGATCATCTCATTGGCAAGATCTTTTCAGCAAGGAAGCTGGCACAAAACCCATACTCTGCATTCAACAGCTGGTTTCTGCCTGCAGCATCCTGCTGCACAGCAGTGAACAGACAAAACAATTCCTAGGATTCAGATTCCTTGGAGTTAGGACAGCTTTTTCATACATCACTCATTTGCACAGTGATGCTCTTGTAAAGTCAGCTCCTTCCCAAAACACAATAAAGCAGCACCATGTAAAGTGAAGGGCATTTGGTGCAAGCAGAATTAATCCACCAAATAAACATGAGCACAGCTCCTACACCGAATGACACGGCCGAGGCTCTACATTAGCTCTTGCATTTCTTTTAATTACACTGACAAGGGCAGCCTCACTCATTTTTCCATCACAAAAGGGAGTCACATGAATGGACATGTTAACAGAGACCACCCAAAATTTCTGCTGGAGGAAGGGCCAGGTGGTTTGGGCTAATAAACAGCAACAGTGACACCTAGTGCTGCTCTGGCTTCCAAGTGCTGGATTACAGAAACATTCCAGCACTCCAGTTTCTCCAGGTAATGCACCAGGATGATTAACACACCTCACCCAAATTCTGCTGTCAGAAAGCATCTAGAGAAAATGGGCACCCACAAGATTGAGCTGGCACATAGCAATGTTGTCATTTCATCACCTGCACAGTGTCAAACACGAGGAGTGCATGTGAAGTTTAAATAAATTTCCATGCAAATTCATCTATAAAACACAACCTTCTATTCTGAAATGCACAGAAAACACTAATTTCAGGTGGCTATTAAGAAACTTACATGGAAATGATAACTTCTGAAAAAGCTTTTACTGACCAGCAAGAGCTTCACAGGATACTCAAGTTGTGTTAACAATTAAAAAAAAAACGTGATTTCACATATTTGAACAATCAGACTCAGAGATTCCTCCTTGTTAATCATCTTCAGGCATGCCTAGGTTGGAAGTTTTCCAGCAGTGTTACATTGGTAACCTCTCTCTACACCTCTGCAGAACCAAGCCATGAGTACAAGGGAACACACAACCTAACAGGGCTGCAAATGCAAAAACAAATCAAGGTGGCTTGAAACTGGCTGGGAGGAAAAACGTTCTCAAAGTAAGCAAACAACATCTGAGTATTTCCTAACCCTACTTATTTTTAAGGCCATTTTACTGCAATCTGGTTGTCAAAAGTCAGCCCAGTTTCTCCCTCTCATTAATAAAATAATCACTATTACAGCCAGACTTTCTTGGACTCAAGGCTTTATTGGAATTCCTCTTGGAATTACATTTCCTAAACACCAACACACACAGAAACAAAAGGAACATGTAGAAAAAAATTACCTGGGGTTACAGTTAGCTGAAAGTAATGGAGCTTGTTTGGGTCAGGAAAATTCACTTTACATGTACCTGTGAAGCAAAAGAATAATTTACATCAGACAATGAGTTCTACACTGTTGGCTGGCATGAGGAGATGCTTCTGTCATGGATGTTTTATCAGAGTTTTTATTTTATGCAGTTTTTAGCTTATTAACCCATCAAGCTGGCTGTTCCTTTTCTGTAGCCAAGGAACTAAATAGTATCATAGCTATAAATCCTTATTTGCCTGAAAAAACCTACCCAGAACTGCCCACAAACCCCAGTAATGCACTCACACTGCAGTAACTGAAACCACACATTTTTCAGGTATTTGTTACCCTATAACAGAACCTACACTGAAAAAAGTTTATAGAATTTACACAGAGTAATTTTCTTTAACTGTCTTTAATAAAGGCTTACATCTCAAGTATGATTCAGGTCTAAAACCAAATTACCAATTTTTTTTTTTTTTTTGGGAATATGGATCACTCTTAAAAATGAGTTTTCAGGAATATTTTCACTATGAACAAAGACATCAAGTTACATCTTTAAGTGAAAAAACTGCAGATTGACCTCATGTTCCCTGAGAGCTGAGCCATTTGCTCTGCCCCTGAATCAGAATCTCCTGTTTCAAAAAATGAGAGAATAAAGAAAAAACAGGAGTGAGGCACTAACTACACCCTTGAGTTCCAGGAACTTTTTGGGTGCTTTATGGAAGTTTTGCTGCCACTCCCCACCAATCAAAACCTGGTGGCAAATGATCAATATCCCTTCCAAAGGACACTAATGAGGGGCCAGTTCTCCATAGCCCTGTAAGGGGAATCAACAGAGGATATCTGTTCAAGCCAGAGTGGTGGAGCATTGCACAGCTTTCCCTGAATTAATAAATACCATTAGCATTTATACTTCAGTCAAAACGTTCACTTCAATGCTCCTTTCCCCCTTCAAATGCATATTATTAAATGTTATACTCACAAGGTAAATTAGCTTCAAGGTCTGCAACCTCTGTTGAAAGAAAAAGAAGCCAACAACAAAACCATTATTTATGCAAGCATAAAGCCCTTCTTCAAGTCCAAACCACCCCATAAATCCAATTTTACTTAAAAATTAATTACCTTGTAGTGGAAGTTTACCTTGAAGTTTCTCTTTAAGCCACTCAATTCATTACTAAAAACGCTCATCTGCCCTACAGACATGGCAAATGTATCCTCCTTTGATGGGGAGTTCAGCTCTGCCAAAACTGAAGTGTCAGGTCTGCTTCCACACAGAGCACTGGCATTTCCAAAGCACAGGTTTTGTTACTGATATGCATTCCTATTCAATTAAATCCTCCTTTTATTTATTTCCTGAGCTTAAAATTCATAAAAGAAAGGAAGCATCTCGATTCTGTTCCACAGCCCCTAGGAAATGAAGTGTATTCCTAAGCCTGGAATTGCTGGAAGAATCCTGTTTTGTGTATTTTATTGAGGTTTTACTTGCAATTACATCTGAACAAGATGCATCAAGTTATCTCCCCCCTTTACTTCTAAAGTCCTAGGAAATCAAACCGAGTGTATTTTTGGCTTTTCCTGTGGTTTTATTTTCCACTTCTAACTTAGCTCTCAGGCCTCCACAGACACAGCCCATTTATTTGGGTTGACAACATGCAAGCTATTTCAATACCAACTCTCAAAAACACACATCTGAAGGAAATTTTCGTTCAAAATTCTTGGCACTGAATCCAAACTGATCTCATCACAACTCCCACTAACTCTGCAGAACTTCTCCTGCCATCCCTGCTTCCCAAACCTGGCATTTCTCTACAGTGGGAATGATGCTTATTTGACTCCCATCTGCCTTGTGTTTGGCACACCCTGCATCTGCAGCCTGCTACACCAAGAGAAAAAAACCAAGAAAACAGAAGCATGGTGCTTCACACTGGCCTATAAAATTCACAATTTCACCTTTAAAATCCCAAACTTGCAGCCATAGCTGATTTAACCAAAACCATGCACTGAAGGGCAGCACTAGAGCCATATTTTGCTAAAGTACTAACTTTATAAAATACAAACACACGAAAAGGTAATTTCAGCTGTAATCACGAACTTTATTTCAATTTTCCCTTTCTGGTTGATAAAAAAAGATGTGACAACCAACCCCCAAAGGCTGCAGCTATGAAAACTTTTCCTAAGATTATTCCCTCACTCCTTTCTTTGAATTCACCAGCCTTTCACAGTGGGAGGCACATCAATCTTCACTAGATTGCAAAGTTTAGGACCTGGTTCAATTATTTTCAAGGTGTTGACTGCTTTCCTTTATTGCTTTCTGTGCTTGTGTGATGTTCAGCTTAATGAATCCTGCCTGCCCTTTCCCTGATCCCATAAAAGGGAGACATTTAAGGGCAGAGCTTGTTCAGTCCTAGCAAGGGCTGGGCTGAGCTATGCTGAGCCAGGGCCTCACTTCTGCCTCCTGTAAGGTTCAGTAGAGAGTTTACAGTCACTGGAATTCCTTTGAATTGTGAAAACTCCCTGTAATGTGTTCCCCACTTCTGTTTCTCTCTGCCTTGGCACAAGAATGAGTGGCTTTTACTTGTGAAAACATGAAAACAAAATGCTCACACCCAGGAGAAAGGGAGCACCATGCTCCTTCTCTGAAGGTGTGCATGCTGTGCTAATAAAGCTACACAAAAGTTTTGGAAATAAAGGCAAACGGCCCAAAATTGAGGTTTCTAATGAACTCTGCAACAAACCATTGAAACTAAGAATGAAACAACTTCGTGAAGGCAAAGCAGATAAAGACCTGGTTCAAAAATCTAAAGGTTTGAAGCAGCATCAAGAAAGGCCACAGATGTTACTAGCAATTGTGCCATATGAACAAACATTGGTGATTCACCAATTAACAAGCACATTTAACAGGCCAAAACTCAGTGCCTGAGAGTTTTCCAAATTCTGTGTCTTTTTGGTAGTGACAACATTGCCATTAGAAGCATTTTGTATGTTGCTGCTCAGAAAACAAACATTTTGACCAGAGCATTCAAGCTCCATTAAGATTCTGATGTTTTAATTTACACATTTTCTGCATAAAGCAACACCTCTGGCATTCTCTGTAAGAAAACAAACCTTGTGCAGGCTGCCAACTTATTTAAGAGATTTGTAAACAAAGCAAAGCATGGAAGTGACAAACAGAGCTCCAAAGCACTGAACTTCCAACATCTCCAAAAGATTCACTAAATTAAAAAACAAAGTTTTTCTGAACAACTCTTTCAAGGAATGACTGTCACTACAGCTAATCAGTGAAGAAAATTCAGTCTGACTACTTTTCATGGTCATTTTGTGGAGAATTTGCATGTGTGTCTCAATTCACACCATGAAGATGAGGAGACAACCAGAAAATCCATGGCTCAGGAAACTCCAAACAGTCCATGTGGAATTCCAAACCCTTGTGTGACCTGGTGCAGGAGCAGCCCAAGGGGAGATGAACTTGCAGAGTCCTGCTCTTATGTGAACAGTTCCAAATGCTATTTTAAACCAGAAAAAAGGTGAGGCTTAAACGTAAACCCAGCACAAACACTGGAAAAGCTGAATGCAAATGGATTATGTCTCAGCTTTTCTCTCTTCTCTAAGTTCCTGAGCTGCACCTAAGCCTAACACAAGCAACCAGAGTTATTTATAAGTGATTTCACAAACAATAACTCTCCCTCTCCATGACAGGTTTCGAGACAGAAATAGGAACACTCCTGCTGTGTACAAAGTTTATGAATGTTCAAAGCACACACCACAGCCCCACTGCTCTGCTCCCTCACCTCTCAAAATCAGAATTTAGCAGTGCTTGGTTTATTAAGTCTTCCACAAAAATCAGGCTCTATGCTTCCTGCTGGAGTTTCGTTTTAATTACACCAAACAAAAGCATTATTTCTTCAAGTGAACGTTCTTATCCACAGCAGAATTACTTCTTTCTGGTTTTGTTCAAAAAGACTCCTCTCCTGTTTAAGACCCTCTTTAATTTACTTCTTTGAGACTTCTAGAGGTGAAGATTAAATACCTTTACACTAATAAAAATTCCATTTTCTAAGTCCTAATTCTAATATCCTATTAATTCTGGAAATGCTGTTTGCCTCCTAATTCTTATTCATCTATCTTTATAGCATTCCCTACTCAGTTCCTCTGAACTGTACAGACCAGTATAAGAAAAAAGGATTTTCTCCCCTCTCAACTTTGCTCACCTGTTTTTATGAGGAGGGACATTACTATTTTTGAAGGCTTGAAGAAAGCAAATAAATGGCTTTTCTCATTTTTACTTACAATGGATATACACCTCACTTTCATCATCAGTTTCCCACTTCCACTTTCTCAGGCTTATAACAAAATATTTTCTGGTTATATAAATATGGTTATAAAAGCCACAGATATTGAAGACTGAGAAATAAACCTTGTAAGTGTGATAAACCTAGTAAGTGTGATAAATGTGATTCCTGCTAATTAAATTGTAACTATATTAACAAAATTGTATTTAGATCAATAGAAGACAATTGTTACAGAGTGAGGGGGGAGATGGGTGAGACAGGACAAAGGACATCTTCCAGATGTTGGGAGTCAAAGAAGGAGGTTGGAAGAAAGTCAAACAAGAATAGTAGAAGGACGTAGGTCTGACAAGCAGCATCTAGAAATAGAAAGTTTTGACCTTGAAATGGGCCAAAATGGGATGATTCCAGGCATGGGACTCAAAGTCTTGTTATGGAAAACATCTGCTCAGTCACACAGTGCACCTAGAACCTTCTGTAGCCTACAGTATATAAGTGGGATTGTTAGCCTGGATGCTTTGGAACGTGAGGAATGGGAGCCACTCCCTGTACCCCCGGTCAGGGGGGCCCTCCCCGGTCGGTTTTGCTTTATATGAACCTCAATTATACTAAATTACTTACTGCCAAATTTTGTATATTCTTAAATATATGCACTTTGATTGTTTCATCTCCAATACTTTGATTGTATTCATTTTGTTACTATTAAAAATTTACTATTAAATTTAATCTTGTTGCTTGATAAATTGGAAAAATAGAACATCATTCATAACAGTAAGTTATTTCAAGTTGCCACAATCAAACTAAGCAGGAGTAGTGATATAGAACTGAACGATGACATTTCTGTGCACTACTGAAAATGCAGCTTTGTGATCCATAAGCTGCTACTGCCATCCTGGCATGCTCCCTATCTTCAATTCAATTTAGCAGCCACCTTCATTATACAGTATTCATCTTAACCACCACTTTGGTTTGTCCTCAGCTCTTTTTAAATTTCAGAAAAGATCTGCCTTTCAAGTTCAGCACTGCATGCCTGCCATCCTGGAGGAGCAGTCATGTGGCCCCTGCTCCCAGCTTAATGAAGTTCCCTGTAGAGATGAACAGAACATTAAAAATTGCCTCAGCAGCACAGAACAAAATGAAAGCTGCTGAAGCAACTGCACTGCTTGCTCTATTTTATTTGGGTACTAGGCCTACAGAATTAGGGCCTTACTCTCCAACTGAGCCTAGACGGAAATGCAGTGAAAACAGATGTACAGATGAGTCACACACAGTTCTGAACAAAGCTGTGCTTTACTAGACCCTCTCTACAGCTGGAAGAGAATATCCAAATCACTCAGAATTACTTCCCTAGGTGTAAAACTTCAGTGATAGAGAGATTTCCATTCATAATATGTCCATAAAATAAACCAGCTGTCCTGACACAGACTGATACCTGAGTCTGTAACAATGCTGGATAGAAGCAGTCAAAGGAACAACTTAAGGAAAAACGAACAAAAGGCACCTGTATTTTAAGAGCAGCTTTTCACCTAAAGTGGAACAAAGCCTGTTTAACATGCATCCACCAATAAAGATCAGTGCCTGACACCACTATTTCAAACACCAACCGAGATGTTTCTTCACACCCATAGTGCAAATAGCTATCATAGCTAAATTAGCCCTTATTTTTCCTACTTTCAGGCAGCATGCAGGTCTGCACCAAGTCTTTCAAAGTTTGTAAGCATCACCTACGCTTGTCAGTAGCTGGGGTCGTGGTCATCACCTCAATCAAAACAGCACTGATGTATTATTGACCAGGCAAAGGACACAACACAACTGAGGGCTGCAGGGCTATCGGTGTGACAACACATCCTTCAGAGATCCAGGATTGGATTCTCTATTAACACAAACAGGGCTGTCTGCAATTTACCTCCAGAAAAAAACAGACATGGTCTGTGTCTGGATAATGCCCTTAGCAAAGCTGGCATACATCCATCTGCAGGATTTATTACACTATCTCCAATTGACTGTGGAGCAGGAAGAGCACAGTGGTGCTTCACCACTGGCAGAACACTCTGGGCCTTTTCTCATCTCCTCCTCCCTTGCTGATGGCCAGGATTTCTCTTCTTTTATGCAGGAGAGATTATTTTCTGATTTGTTGCCAGGACACTGACCTGATGGAGCCTTTCCCCTGTTGTGCCACTTATCTGTTTGTAACTCCAGCCAAAACACACCACTAACAACTTCTCCTTACAACTAGTCTCCCAGGCTCCTACTGACTTTGGGATCCAGCACAACAGCCCGAGTTCAGCTGTCACAGTTCCACACAAACAAGAATAAAAGCACTGGTGCTCGTCCAGCTGCAGCAGCATCACTGTTGCATGCACACCTTTAGCAGGCAGCTCTGCACTCCCATCCAAACTCTTTTCTGCAATCTTTAAGTGACCTAGAAACACCCTCAACATCAGACACTCACTCCACTCAGTCTCACAACACGGTGGATGCTGCTGCAGCTGATCTATCTTAAGGTGCTGAAGCAAATTCTAGAAACTTTTGTAAGCAAATGGTCTACATTTAGTTTGAGCAGCTTGAAACAGAACATCCCCAACCCAAGAAGTCTTTCCCACTACATTTCCCTCTCCCTTTGAGCAGTTACACTGCAATGATCTGCTCCTCCTGCCAGCTCCCTTTCCACCCAGAAACCGTCCTCAGCAGACTGGCAGCTGCTCCTGCAGCTGTTCTGGGACAGCATCCTGATTGTGGAGGTGCATCCTCTCTCCCAACCTCTGGCCTGCTCTGCAATTTCAGCAATTCTGCCAGGCCCTGGCCTTTGCACAAGAGCTCAGTGCTGAAGCATTCCTGAAGTGTACCAGGCACTACTGCTGCCTGGACGAGGTGGGAGATGGGAGTAGGAATAATCAGCCATTCCCTGATGGCTTTGGAACATTCCTTAGCTGAATTATAGCCTGACTGAAATGGTACCATTCTCACCTGAATTTCAGGAAATTCCAGTAATCCCCAAAAAGGGATTAACAGGACTATTCCATTGATTCTGAGGAGGAATTTTTAAATATACATACATGTGTGGGTCACCTCTGCACATTTGTGTGCATATCTATGTATCTTTATGTATCTTTGTGCAGGTCTGTGCATTGACTTGAACATACTATCAAATAGTATACATCTTATTATCTTGAATCTATATTATATTCAGAGCTGATTAATAATAGAACACTTGAATGTTTTTATGATTAAGTTCTGCTACATCTTTTAGACATAACTGTTGACTCCAAGCCTGAGACTGGGTCCAGCTGCACTGAGACTCCTCCCCGAGTTTAGAATGGAAAGGATTTCACTCTGAACCTCTTGACTCAATCAAGAGTTTTCTTTACATTTTTCCCTTTCCTCTTTTCATTCCAGCCTCTGCATATATCACTCTAAATTGATTCTAATTTGATTTTCCTTTGCAGGTATTACCCATGCAGTAAGCAGTAGCATAAACCCTGCCAACAACCTTTGCTGTGCTTCTGCAAATTTATATTAAGGCCCATTTGCACCTGGTGACTCTTTAAGTGACTACACCACTCATTTTACAGCAGGGATGCAACTTCCATACACAATCACATCACAATCCACCTCTCAGTGCTTGTCAGAGCCATGTGAGCACTGACCTGTTTTTAACATTTGTCAGTCTGGGACTCATTCAATACTTAGTTAGAACTTAGTTAGTTTAAATACTTAGTTTTACCTAGTTTTTTTTAATACTTAAGTTTTTAAAATATTTAGTTAGAACTTGAATATTTAGTTTTACTTTTTTAAAATACTTAGTTTCTTAAATAATTAGTTTTACTTAGATGGTTTGCCATTATAGCCACAGCAATTCCAATTACAATGCAAATATTCATTTTCTACAGATTATATTCTCTTCCTCCCCTGCAGACTTTGAGTATGGTTTTGAAAAACATGATTGCTCTAAGGGTAGAGGAAAATTTCTTTGGTAGCTCACATGAAGGGTGTTTATTTCTCCTCAAATCTATACACGTAGGTAAGGGAAAATCTCAGATTATATATATTTAGTAATTTAGCTTTGCAGCTTAGGCTGGTTAAAGAGCTTATTTCTCCTGCTTGAATCATTCCCTCTCAGAATTGAAGTTAAATGAGGATTTTCCAAATTGGCAGTGTAAAAGTGATCACAATCATGACTTAAATCATATAAAAATTCCCTGTCCTTAAAACAATACAGAGAGAAAACTGTGGATTTAACATTCCTACAGTCTAGCTGAGGCACTCCCAGTGCACGAGGCAGCAGTGACACCTTGCTCCAGATATCTGACAGAATTTACCCTAATTTGGAAAAAAATATATTAGGTAATATCAGCAATTACAGCTGTGCTGGTTTCACACCATTCTGAAACAAGCCCAGGAAATGTGGGTTTCCTCTGTCTGGCATGAATCCCAATAGTGGCAGCTGACACACCAACAGCAGTGTATTTGCTGCTGATCATTTTCAGCAGAAACTTCAACCTAAACAACACATTCCCCTGCCACTAACACTCAGCTATTGCCAGAGGGAGTGAACCTGAGCTTAAATCCATAGTAACTGCAAGCTGGCAGCATCTATGGATCTTTAAATATAATATTATCTATGCTACCAACAAAAACCAACAAAAACTGAAGTGGAGGAAAGAGTTGTTCCTGATTTAACTACAAAATAGTTTAATTTTTGTCCCATTAACTACCCCATTTACCCACAACTGACAAGCAGTAGGTTTGGGGCTTTTTTTTCCACCAGCTGGTAAGAACCCACAGCAGCCTTCCTAAAACACGCTACACTACAATACAATTACTCACAACTTCACACTCAACTTTTAGTGATTTCAGGCCTACAAAAACCTCTCTCTGCACTGATTTTTGAATCTTTTTAAAGTGTGCTGCCTCTGACCTATGCCATTAAAACCACCACAACACTGTTGTTACTTTCAGGATGTTTTTTTCCCTGTGACAGTCAGTTATGGTTTAGCTCAAAAACCACCTTCTTACCAAGGCAAATATACTTGTGTTGACATTCTCCTGCTAAACGTTCAGTGACACTTATGTGGCAATTTTTTATCACGTTTTAATTGATGATGGGCTAATTTTCAACAGAGTAAGGAGGGACACTTGTTTTGGTTTTCAGTACTCAATAAAAATAATTGTCCTAGAGGACATTTTAAAAGAAATACCTGTGGGAATTGATACACAATTAAGTGCTGTTTACTGGCAACACACCCAATAACAGTATAAAGCAATATATTTCAATATATTCTTTCACCTTTAACGAGTAATTTGTCCCGGACAGACACCCTGCGAGTGGAGTCAGACGCTGGGTTGGACGCACGGGGGCCTCTGACACCGTCATCCCGCTTCAGCTTGCTTGCCAGCGTTAGCATTACTGCTGCTTCCCACCTGGAACACAGCGGGAGGGCAGCCACGGTCACCAAAACCCAGCGGCAGGAGCAAAACAACTCGTGGTTAGTGAATAAGGAGTGAACGGCCATCAGTCATCCTCGGCAGCTGAAGAATGAGTTTGGTCGGGCTGGGAATACTGAGGGAGGTGCAGTGCGTCAGGCCAAGAGGAAATTCAGTTTTCTGCGGAGAGGTCCGGATTATATCAGCGTTTACAACCCGGTTTCACTGCCTCACACTGCTCCTTGGGTGTGAAAATCCCCCTGGCAGCCCCCTGCTCTCCTCCACTCCTCACAGCTGCTTCTTGGCCGGCCAAAAAATAAAAAAATAAAAAGGAGAAAGGGGAGGGATTCCTGGAAGAACTCTCTAAGTAGGAAGTGAGCTTTGAGACAGCTCCCAGGGCACAGGAAAGGGGCTGAGGCTGCAAACACCGCAATTATCTACACAGCTGCACAGCACTAACTCCTCCCGGGGCAAAAACCTGACACACACACACACACCCCAAATAACTGAAACAAAGAGGTGCTTCGGCTGTGCCAGCCATCCACTCTGGAAAATAACTGCACTAATCAATTAATTACAGTAAAAGGGGGTCAGAATGCCAAAGTCATGAAGCCAAAACATCCAATCTGTCATGGCTTAATATGTTTTGACACTGCTCCGAGCTGAAGGCAACTCCTCCTTCTTTAACATTTTGGCTAAAACCGGCACAATGCTGACAAAACCCAAACCCTTCAGGCCCCCCAACAGCTAAAATGGTAGAACTGCTCATTCTTTAATTAATAGGAATTAATTCAACCAAATAAAGGGGAGAAAAATGCAAAAAGCCAGGGTATAATCTTTACTTGGGAGGCTGAGAAGAGCTCAACCAAAAAGCGAGCAACAAAGCTCAAAAAAAGGAAATAATATATTTCACAACAGTCGCTAACAGTGGGAAACTCTAGTGAGATCTACACGAAGGTCAAGCTCCCTGACGCTGACAAGTAATGTGTCTGTCAGCTTCAAGATGTATGTTCAAAAACAAAAGTACACTTCAGGGAAAATGTAAAATCCAGCTGGCTCAACTGAAACAAAGTGCAGGTTTCACCCCGGAGAAAGAAAGAACAAGCAGAACAAAACAGTCCATTTTTCCCTGGAGAAGGAAAAAACAACAGCTGCTTGGAAAAAAAAAAGGAGCAGGGGGTCTGAAAAGTAATGAACGCGGCCATAAATTGAAACAGAAGAGTAAAAAAAAAAAACAAACCAAAACTAAACTGTAGGCCAGCTCTCCCCTCAAAAATACCCCCATCTTTTAAGCTCTGATTCCAAATAAATTCGACCTCGATGACCATTAAATGTCTAAATACCTTTACAACTTGTCCTAGACAACCAGAGAACCCAAGAGGAGCGTGACCAGTCTGGAGAAGAAATTACTCGCTTCGGCTGTATCCCAAATTCTAATGAAACACAGCAAGAAAGCACTCACAAATCGCAGGTAAAGCTTTACCGAGGAGACTGAGGAGAAGACAGAGGTGCTGTGTTTATTGCTAAGAAAGAGAGAAGGAGTCGGGGGAATTCTCCAGCTGCCCCGGGAGCCACGGAAGCCGCTCTGTAAGGCATGGGGATCGCGGGGCTGTGAGGGAACGGGCCCGGGGGACCCCAGCGGGAGCCGAGGCCTGGCGGGCCAGCAGATGTGGGGACAGCCAGAGCGGCCAGACCCGAGTCGGGGGCTGAGGGAAGGGGGACAGCCCGCACGTACCTGAGCGCAGCGTCAGGGCCCGGCTGCCGCGGCCAACACCATCCCCGGCGCCGGCCCGGGGGAGCGGCGGTGGCGGCTCCTCCTTCCTTCTCCTTCCTCTTCCTCCTCCCTCAGCGGAGATCTCGCGAGAGCACAGGTGGGGCGGGAAGTGCCCCTGCCGGGATCTCGCGAGAGTTTGGCGGGGGAGGCCGCTTGCCGCCGGGAGGGCGGCGCCATGTTGGGGTTGCCGCTGAGGGGCCCCCTCAGGCAACGCCGCCATATTGGGGCGCTCCCTCAGCGCCGGCGGGGTGGCCCAGTGCCTGAGGGGATTTTATGCCGTTGGAGTTATCTGTCCCCAGGCCGAATTTTCTCAGCTTTTGTAAACGGAATCACAGAATCATTACAGTTAGGAAAGACTTCTGAGATCAGCGAGTCCAACCTTTGACGGATCTTCACCATGCCACCCAGACCGCAGCACCGAAGTCGTTCCTTAAACACCTCCAGGGATGGTGAGCCCACCACCTTCCTGGCGAGACATTTCCAATAAATTTTATTCTTCTACTGTCCCCTCATACTGCTGTGCAAAGAGGGATTCAGCCGCAATATAAATTACACTGAGTCTATGCAAATAGCAAGACATCAGGAGGGAGAAAAAACAGTTGTCAGGGTGATTTCAGGCTGCAGTGTTTGCCTCGGTGCCTGCTTAAATTAATCAACTATTTGTACATTGCAGCACTTGATGAGTGGAAGACTAGTGAATCAGATGGAATAGTCAATCAATTTGTCAATAATTTCAATATGCAGTAGTCAATCAAATGAAATATCAATGTTTTAGAAGCACTTAGACGTCCATCAGATGGAATCTGTGTAAAAAATGATCGTAAAGAGTGCACTTAGTAATGGAGAGTGACTACGTGGGTATCGTAACTAGACTGTCCAAAATACTTAAGAAGTTCTCGCAGTTCTGTTAAATCAGCCCTCCCATCTGTAAAACAGGTGCATAGACTTCCAAGTTCTTCCATTTGGTAGCTTCCACTAAATAAGGGCACCAAAACTTAAAAGCATTAACATTAAAGCAGCCTCCAGGTTAGAAGGGAGAAGGCAAAGGTAACACCAGGGGAAGTTTGGCATACAGCTACTAAAACTCTGCATCCTAAACATTCACTGCAGCGATACCACTGCCCCTTCCCCAAAGATAAACTGGAACTGAGCTTACTGAGATCTAGTTAAACCAGATCTGCTGCTTGGAGCCCTTTCTTCCTTTCCTTAGGCTCTTCTCTCCAGATCCGTGTATTGTTTGGATAACGCAGCACAGCAGCTTTGGACAGAAATGTCCTAAAAACATCCCCGCCTCACAGAGGGATTTCTGCAAGCGGTCAGAAGCGAGGGGTGAAATCGGGAGCAGAGCCAGAAGGTGCGATCCCAAAGGAGGTATTGATGGCATTTGCCTCCTGCGAGCCCGAGGACACAGAGCAAAGAACGCAGCCTGGGTTACTGGGAGAACGAGCCTGGCAGCGCTGTGGCCGAACCCCGCATTCCATAGGGAATTCCAGACACGCCTTCGGGGCTTTCCCCGCCCTTTGGGAGGTGTTGGCCCAAGGGCGTTTCCCTCTGGATGGATTTTCATTGCCTCGGGTGCTGCTCCTGACATCAGATAGCCGAGAGGTTTGACAGAATCTATTAGAGCTGTCCAAAAAACCGCAACATGCAGGCTTTTTTTTTTTTTCCCCCTCTCCCTGTCCCCACATCAAACGCAACGGGGTTCCTTTTGGGCATGTCCTTGCAAGGAGGCGCAGGCGATACCTGTGCTGTGGTGTTGCAGAAAAGCAAAGTGAAAACACGGGATGGCAGCTTATCTGCTTACGGTAGTTTAATTAACTACTTTAGTTTTCATGTTAAATAGCACATAAAATAATTTACACAGGCAAGTATGCAGAATATACTCTTTAATAAATAGCAAGTAAAAAAATAGTTTTCCTTAAAAACATTTTGAGAAGTAGAAAAATAAAGGCATGCATATTCATGTTCTTTCCAGGAAGGGCATCATTTTGCCTTATCTGGAGCCAATAATTTAAAAGACCGCGGGGAAAAAAATAAAAAATGGTGTCCTGAGCTCGCGTAAGTGAGGAAAAGGTTTAAAGAGGTAAAATATAGGAAATAGGAAGTAACAGCGCGGCGCGGTGGTTTTTTCCCGGTTGTCGGGGCGGTGCCGTGGGCCGGACGCTCAGCACTTGTCCAGCAGGGCAGCGCAGCGCAGGTTGTCCAGCACCTGCAGGACGTGCAGGATGGTGGTGGCCCTCAGGCACGCCGTGCTCTCGGGGCTCTCCTGCGGCGGGGACACAGATGGGTTGGGTCAGCTCTGAAGTTGGCACCCCAAAACCCGTCACCTCAAACCCCATCGCCCCGCTGGCATGACTTACTGTTCGCATGGCCACTTGCAGCTTGTGCAGCCAGTGCCGCAGCCTGCCCGAGGGCTGGTGCGAAGGATCCACCTGCACGGAGAGAGGCGGGGTAAGGAGCAGGCCCCAGCGGAGCTGGCTGGGGCAGGGCCTGGGGCCGCTGGCTGGGGCAGCGGCTGGGGGAGGTACTCACACAGCCCCGCACATCCTCACGGGCGTGGGAGAAAAACTCCAGGGGCCGCTGGCGCACCTCGGCAAAGCTGGGGGCAGCGGGGAGCTCCAGCATGGCCGTGGTGAGGTTCAGCTCCGCCACCACCAGAACCACTCGGTCGGACATCTGTAGGTGACAGTGTCCTGGTTAGGGACCCGAAGCGCTGGGGCTGGAGTGTGGGGGTCTCGAAGACCGGCCCCGGGATGCGGGTAGAGGTGGAACCAGCTGACAGGAGATGTGTCCCCCCCACTTTTTACAGCATCGTCTCACTCTTACCGGCAGGTGTACAGCATTCCATTTCCGGTGGAAGAGCCTCGTGTTGCATTTGTGGTTGTTCACCTGCAGGCACAAACCAAGAGAGAGACTGAAAAACTCTCATCCTGGCTTCTGGCAATGTTGTACAACCCTGGCCAGCCTTTAGGGGTCTGAAACCGGAATGAAATTTGGCCCAGCATCCTTCATGTCATCCACACACCCTTGGAAAACATCATCCTCATCCCCAGACTGCTGCAGAAAACATGTACCTTGTCGCTCATGCCTTGAATTCAGCATCCTCTCTGCCTTGCCCCCTGCCAGCCCACAGCCCCCCATTGCCAGCAGTACTCACAAACTCTTGTCTCATCTTGTCCACAGCCTTCCGCTCGTCGGGGTCAATGTTCCGGTACTTGGACAGGCTGCAGCCCTTCCTCAGGGTGTCATGGGGAAAGGCAGCCCCCAGGCTGACCCCCAGCACCAGCACCAGCACGAGCAGTGGGGTGAGGCTCAGGCACGACATTTCGGCAACGAAGGCTTGACGGTCAGTGATGGATTACGATGGCGTGAGCAGGCTGGGGTGCAAGATCCCAGAGAGGATGAACCAAAGGACTCCGTGCAGGATTCGCTAAATTTCAGATGCAGAGCTGCCTGACAGGTGCCACAGGTTCAGATGTGGAGCTTCTGAGCTGGTGAACGTCCCAAGGAGCTGCCTTGCAAGCTGCTCCATCTCCAGCTTTTTATCCCTGCCTGGTGCTTTCATATTCATAGGAAAACCCAGGGCTGGCACAGCTGGAAACAAGAAAATGAAAGTGATGCAGGGAATCTCCCTTCCGTTACCTGCCCTGCTGCTTCCAGCCCTGCTGCCGGCTCTGCCTCAGCCCGGGATGCTGGGGGATGCTGAGGCTGGGGGGGGGACACTGCTGCCAGACTGTGGCTGGCAAGTGGGGGGGCACCAGCATGGCCCAGCCCCGCCCCGTGCTGATAGCTGTGGGACACACCTCGGGACAACAGGTTCACGGGAGACGGGAAGGTTTTGGTGCCTCCTGAGCGGCAGCAGGAATTCAGACCTCAGTTTCCCTGTGGGAATGGCAAGGAGGGGGCATAAGCAGCAGTGAGCACTGCACAGTCCAGGCTGCAGGCTTGAGCTTTTATGGCTGTGTTGTCCTGAGGCTCACCAGCAAAGCAGGGAAAAAGGTGAGAGCAGAAGCACTTCAACCTGAAGTTTTCCAGGTGGGACAGAGTTGTGGCAGGATGATGAAGATGAGCAGGGCTGCCACCCTACAAGCCACTGAAACTGGCTGGGGTTTCAGTGCCAGTGAACTGGCAGTGTTCAGCCCCTGTTCAGCCTGGAGAACACAAATAGGACATATTGACATCCCTCTGCTGACAGAGAGGGATATATATATATATATGTATATATATAATATATTTATTTTTTTTTAATATAAAAAATTAGGGCAATACCTGGATCCAAGAAGCAAAGACAGTAAGAAAGTAAAAGTCATAAATGCCCTTTGCAGGGCATTGCACAGTGGCCACAGAGCACTCCAGGAGGAGCCAGTTTTTAATGTTCATATTTGGAACTAGAGTCCAAGAAAAGGAGAAAAGTTCTTGTGGAAGCATGTGTAAAGGTACACCTGTGGGTGAGCAGAGTGCCATGGATGTGGTCAGGCAGATGAGCTGGGACATCTCGACATCATCCAGTCCAGCCCTTGCTCTGGCAGGATCAGCTGGCATGGGCTGCCCAGGACAGTGACCAGTTTTGGGCCTCTCCAAGGATGGAATGGACACTTCACAGCCTCTGTTTTTCTTGTGTTCAGATGGACTTTCCCTGGTTCAGCTTGTGCTGTGCTGTCACACCACCATGAGCCCGAGCCTCCTTCCTCAGCCTCTCATAGGAGACATGTTCCTGTCTATCATCTCCATGACCTGGGTTGGACTCCCTCCAGTCCCTGCCATGTCTCTCTCCCACTGAGGAGCCCAAAACTGGACCCAGCACTTCAGGGTTGGCCTCAGCAGCGCTGAGGAGAGGGGAGGAATCACCTTCCTTGGCCTTCTGGAAACACTTGAGCTTCAGAGGTTCCCATCAGCCCATTTCTCCAGCTTGTTGAGGTCCCTGTGGACAACACAGGCACAATCCCCTGCTGGGTCATCCACTGCTCCCAGTTTGGTGTCACCACTGACCTTGGTACAGTGAGAGTCCCCTGGGCCTCATCATCCAGATCATTAATGAAGAGGTCGAGCAGGACCAGCTGTTGACTCACAGGGTCCATCCAGCCCTTCTTGAGCCCTTCCCCTGCCCCGCCTGCATCCCTGAGGGCTCAGGTCTTTCCTGGAAAACCACAGTGGAGATAAAGAATGGGAAGGGGCAGCATGGATTGGACAGTGACTCGTTCCACTTTGTCCAAACTAGATGCAGACACAGCTTGGAGAAGAGCCAGGACAGCAAAATGTGGTGCTAGAGCTCCAGAGTGTGGTGGGCTCAGGTTTTCCAGTCATGGATGTGGCCACTGGACCAGGCTGCCACCCAGACTCCCACGCCAGCCTCCCTCACAGCAGCAGGTTAGGGGAGGTCAGTCATTTAAAGTCTGAGCCCTGGTGTGTGCTGAGGTCCCTTGTCTGCCATTTTGGTGAACAGGACAACGGCTCTGTCTTTCCTTTCTCTCCCATTAAAAAAACCCACAGGAGATCAATTTTTATTCAACACAATGAAGTTCATGATCAATATAGCTCTGAAATACAAGTCCAAACCAGCATCAATAAGTCCACTTCTGTAATGCAAAAATGCACAGCTCATCTGGAATAGAGGGCACCTTAGCAGAAAATCCCAACAGATGTACAATAAATGTGGCCCCAGTGAGAGAGGGGTGATCCACCACCAACCACGGTCCCACAGCACCGATCCCTGCCCAGACACTTTCGTGTCACCCATCGGGTCACAGAGCAGCATCACACCCTCGTGGGACAGCTTTGGCTCCTGTTTCCCATGGCTGTGGCTTTTCTCTCCCAGCTGTCATTTCAGTTTGGAGAAGTAAAGTGAAACCTCACCTCTTCACACATGAAAAGGAAATCAGAGGTACCAAAGAAAAGCTAAATCTGCGGGGCGAAGCCAGGCCATGAGCGCAGCCCCCAGCACTCATGGCAGCTGGGATGGAGGGATGAGGATCTCTCCTGGGCACCTTGCTCAGATATTTGTGCCACCCCAGCTACATCTGAGCCCTCAGGGCCTGGCTGAGCAGCAGTCAAAGCTTTTTCATAATTTATGGGGTGTTGCCATACTGGGCTTTGGTGTGTGTCTTTCCCAGCAATGTCACACTCCACCATAGCCTAGCCAGCAAAGCATGGCTGCATTTGCCACTGCTCCTCCAAACTGTGCCAGTGCCAGCTGTCCCTGGCAGTGAAGAGTTCCCCAAAGCCAGCATGGGCTGGGGACATCACACTGTGCCCAACAGAGTCTACAGGGCTCCACAATGATTATTCCAGTCCCAGATGCCAATGGTGCTGTGCCAGGAGAGCAGAACAGATGGTGATGATGGAGCCCCTTCCTTGGGTTCAGCCAGCCTGGAAGCTGGAGCCACCCAAGCTTGCTTGGAGCAAGAAATCCCAGGTGTGTGGGATTTCCAGGTGCGAGAACAAAAGTGAAACCTGACTGTGGACAGGGCTGGCGTCAGCACCGGGTGAGGTAATCGCTCCCTGGTGACTCATGGCTCCTGTATGGCACAAGCGTGGGAAAGCTGTTTGCCACAGGCCATGGCCCTGCAGTGGGTAAGGGTGAGCCCAGATGGCTCCTGACCCCAGTCAGTGGGCTACTCTGGGAGGAAGTGACTCCTGCTAAACAGACTAGTCTGGGTATAGAAGACAGAAAGAACAGAAAGCGTGCCCCAAAAGAGCCAGCTTTAAAATAACCCCCCAGGTGATGTGTGGGAGCCCTGCCCATGGCCCGATGGTGCCAGGACAGGGGGCAGCAGGTGGGCTCTGCTCATCAGCCACCACCAGACCTGTCCGTGCCAGCCCAGGGTGTTGGTGCCACCAAAGTGTCCCCAGCCCCATTCCATCCCCAGAGCCCTTCAGCACCTCCCAGCACGTGTGAGCTGCAGCAGCCACTGCAATGGCTGGTGCTGCTATCCTGCACCACCCTACACAGTGGTGATGCAATGAATCCCTGCTGTTCAGTCATGGCAGAATGGTGCAGGGAGGGAAGGGCTTTTAAATTAAATTACAGATTTAAATTTAAAGTGAGAAAGGCCCCAGAGCCTTTTTGCCAGCACTGTGGGGACACAGGATGTCACCTCCTGGGGTACCCCTTCCTGCAGGGATGCACCTCACAGGGACAAGCCCTGCCAGCAGAGCTGGGGCTTCCCCAGCCCAGGCAGCCATGGGCATCCCAGCAGTGGTGCCACCCAATGCCATCCTGGGCTGGAGAGACCCCCCATGCTCACCCAGCGAGGGAGACCTGAGAGCTGCTGCTGATCCATACCCAACCTACAGGGACAGCAGGGCCTGATCCAGCATTCCTGCTCCACAGAACCAGCCTCCCATCCGTGATGGGCTTCCCACGCCATAGCTGTCCTCCCGAGATCCCATCACCCTTCTGGGGGACAACTGGGGGCAAAGCCTTGGCTCCCCAGCCTGGGCAAGCTGAGGGGAGCTCAGTCAGGACCCTGAGAGGCCAGGACTTCAGCAGAGGTACCTCCAGCCCCTCTCAGCCCCTCCAGGTGCACTCCCTGGGGCCAGGAGCAGGGGTGGCACTTCACCTTTTTTAGTAATGCACTGACCTAGAACAGAGCGAGGGCAGGGCCCTTCCCATGGTGCCAGGGAAGCTTTCTTGCCAAGGACAGGAATTACAGGAAAGGGAAAGATCCTTGCACAGGGTGAGTCTGGACTTGAAATATCCCGAAGGCAAACAGGAGGTGACTTGTGCCAGGGTATGCCCAGCTTTGAGCCCTCGTGTGTCCCCTTGCCCCTCCCAAAAAACACAGCCTCTAATCTTCCCTTTGCAGAGTGGGTAGGTGATAGGGGCACAACCCTGCTCTCCTTCAGCAGTGATCCCATAAAGGCTCCTGAGCTGTTCTGAGGGGCCTCACTAGGGCCAAGGCACTCCTGGGGCAGGTGAGGTGCTGATACCTGCACCAGGAATGGGGGCACGTTGTGGGTGAGAACAGCCCCTTTCCAGGGCAGCCTGCAAAGACAGTGCACAGCTCCTTGTTTAGCTGGGGCAGGGAAAGGGGTCAGTGGCCACCTTCCCCACAGAGCAAAGGGGCACTGAGGGCATCAGGACACTCAAGGTCAATGTAGCACAGTTATTCCCAAGCCAGTGGGTGCTCCACAGCCTCTTTGTAAAACAGGAACCACAGGCGACGTTTTCTCAGCTTGATTTTTAATTATTATTAACTGTGTAAGAAATGCAGTGAGTTTCTCAGCTGTGATTCTCTTCCCCAGGTTATTAAACCAGTAATATGTCCACAATGGGACACTTCCAGTGCTGAGGGAGCAGCACTGGGCAGACTCCACAACCAAGGTGGGCAGGAACCTGAGGGGCATAAAACCCCATCTGCTTTCCACAGGAGACCAACACTTCAATTAGCAAAATCAGCACCAGCATTCCCAAGGAGTAAGAGCAGTTATGAGCAGGCTTTTGGGAGACAATCCATCTTGTCCTTCCACTGTAGCACCAGACCAGGAGAAAGGTTTGCTCTCTCAGAGCCCCTTGCAGCCCAGCACGCAGACGTGCCTCACCCAGAACTCCACTGGGGTCTCACGAGAGGAAACTCCCATTGTCTCCAGCATCCTGAAAGGACAAGCAGAGGAAGGGTCTCACCCTGCCCAGAACCAGAGACAGATCTCTTCCACCCACAGCACAGAGGTGGGCTGGCAAATGCTTCCAGCTGCTGCACAAGGCTTGTTCTGGTCAGTGAATAAATGAGCAGGCACCCCTTGCCAGCAGGCCCTTGTTGGGGCTGAAACAGATGGGTCAAGATGTAACCACCAATATTTTTCATGCCCTTTGCAAATTAAAAGCAAGGTAAAGAAATTCAGGACAGTATCATGTCAGAGGTTTCATGGATACATCGGTGCAAGCACAGCCTGCTGCTACACAAGCTTAAAATGTAAGGATCTGCTGTTTAACCCCTGACAAGTGTCCACCCCCGGGGGACAGGAGGGAGCACATCCCTGCACTGGCAGCTTTGAAGGGCTCTGCACAACCTCCCCCTGCATGCACTGTATAGGACAGGTCCTCCATCTCTTTTTCAGGTGTTCTCACCTCTTTTCAGTCTCTTGGAGGAGGGATGTTGCAGCTTTAGGGTCATTCTTTTTAAAGGTTTGATATGAAGAGGAAGACTCCATGTAACCAACCACACCCTCAACAGTCATGGGAATTTGGTCGTAGATATCAGTGACTCTACAAGAGACACGGGCAAGAAAGGAGCATTGGCAAGTTAAATCTCAAAGGCAGGGGAACACAGGGTTGACATGGTGGTGGATAAAATATCTGACACCATCAAAGGTGGTTCTGCTCACCTCTTTTTGTCTGAGAAGGGCAAGGCATCAAAGATCTCTTGGTAGTTGTCCAAGACATATTTTAGTCTATCATGTGAGTATTTTAAAATCTGGTCCCAGCACTGTAAAGATATGTATTAAAAACAAACAGAAAACCACTTGAATTCTCAGATGCCACTTAACTCAGATTTGGGCCTGCATCTGATACGTTCACATATATGTCCTTTTTTATTTTGTAGACTTGTTGCATTCAAATACACCAAAATCTTGCTTAATGTCAAGAATTCAAGGATCCTGTTGTAGAAATAAGGCTCCTGTCCTCCCTACGCAGCTCTTACTCATAGTGGAAAGTCTCCTTTTATCCAATTGTTAGGATACACTTTGTTTAGGAAACCCAACAGTTTCTACTTGCCATTCTTTTCACTGTGATCAGGGCAACAGGAAAAGTCTCCTGGACAATACCAGCTCCCAGATCTGCCCTGGCACCCTTCTCACCCCCACCAAAGTCTGCCCTATCAGTCCTCACGATCCCTCACAGCCAGCCCTGTGTGGAAATCCCTAAATCCTGCTTCATCCTTATCCCTGCATTTACCCATCCCTTTGCCCCGTTTTGCCTTAGGATTCCTCTTGTCCCATTCCTTCCTCTCTGCATCCCCCCGCGCTGAGGTTCTGCCAGCTCACCTCCCTGAAGACTTTGGTGAGTTTTTCGGAGCAGTCCCCGTAGCGCAGGCTCATGTCCACGGTGTAGGTGCTGATGGCCACGCAGCCGCCAGGCTTCACCACCCTGTCAGCCTCCCGCATGAACTTGCCGATGTCGAACCAGTGCGCGGCCGTGAACGATGTCAGCACATCCACGGAGGCGTCCTGGAACGGCAGCTCCTCTGCAGGGCACACGCTGCCAGGGCCAAGGGGAAAAGCCATGGGAAATACAGAGCAGGACATGAATTTTTTGGGGGGTATTTTTTGATGACTTACTTTCCTTACTACACTTAAATGAGGCCTTTGAGGAGGCTCGGCAGTAGCTTCAAGTCCTTGCAAAGCGAGTTAAAGCACGGCACCAGACACGGGGCACCACATGTGGGGTTAAGTCTTTGGGTGCTTTCAGGCACCCAACTTGTCGGGTTGTTTTTTTTTAATGAGTTAAGCAGCTAATAGTTGTTTATTGCAGAAGCACTCCAGTCTTAAAGGCAAAAGCAAAGCAAAATGCAACGGCAAAATGCACCAGCTCTCTCCAGTGCATGTTCTTATATAGAAGCTTCCCAACAAGCTAAGACACAAACTCGGTCCACTACTCCTTAACCTATTAGAATTCTAGTACACCAAACCATGTATAAACTATGTACATGGCCTATCTAGTTCTAACTGAAAAATGTAAACAATATTCTTACTGTAGCTTTATTATGTCTGAAACTATGTTCTTGGAGTCTCCATGGAACCCCTAGTATCTAGGACTGGTTTTCAACCTTCACTAGAACACGTACTATTTCTCTGGCATCCAAAACCTTTACTCACTAAAAGCACTTAAAACTCATTGTACTTACTTACTTGCTCGCTCACTTATACTGAAACCTAAACTTTCACCTCTGCCTTATGTGTGAGTGGCTTAACATACTTCAATCCATCCAAAGGCTTTAATTCAATCCCTGCACTCTGATTTCTCTCTGAAGAATTCAGAGAGACTCCTGACTTCCTGACTCCAACAGTTTGGGATGCGAGACCACAGCTTCTGGAAGCCTAGGGTAATGCTTGTTCACACCAGGAATTCCATCCAATGGAATCTTTGGTACCAGCAGTCATACTCACAAACCACCACCACCTCCATGGGAGGCCCTGAATTCTGCCTTTGGCTGAGCCTGCTGTCCTGACACTCACAGGTAGGAGATGTTGGGCATGCCGGGGGTGTCCTTGGCCTCCTGGATCTGTGCTTCGCTGATGTCCGTGCCCACCACCTTCTTGAAGTGTTCCCCAAGGAAATGGGTGCCTTGTCCAGACCCACAGCCCACATCCACTGCCAGCTCTGCAGGGATTGCCTTCTGCAGGGAGAAGTGGATGTGTCTCAGTGAGCAGCCACCCAATTCCTGTGCTTTTACCCCATCCCTTCCCCCAGCACCACTCAGGAACGGCCTTGGCATGGCAGAACCTGTGGAAAGCCTCCTCTGTGCCCCCACCTGCTGCTTTATCTTTCCCTGAGGCACCAACCAAGGTGACACTCCCAGCAAGGTAAACACTGCCACCCACAATTAAATGCTCCTTGGATTTTTCCCCACCCACAATTAAATACTCCTTGGATTTTTCCTCCAGCCTGGCCATACCACACTCACCTTTTCCTGCAGGTAGGAGAGGATGGTCTGCTTCAGTACTATGCCCGGTGCAAACCTGTATTTCTGGTAGACGGCTGCATGCCCTTTGCCCTCGAACATCTGGGTGGTCATGCTGGCTGTCCTGGCACCCTGGGAATGTCACAGGGACCGAGCTCCTGCCACCTGCTCAGCCCGGGACTGCGAGCACTGCACCTTCAGCTCCCTGCGGGGCACCGGGAGGACTTTGCCCGTGAGGCTCCTGCTCTCCAGGAATCCCTCCCACAGCCCTAAGCTAATCACAGGAGCAAACCGGCCTCATCCGACAGGAAAAGCTTTCCAGGTTTTTACACACTCCATAAGGCGTGTTTAAATCCTTTGCTTCCCCCACCCACCTGGCTGTTTTCTCAAATAATTAACTCAGTAGTGAAGCAGAAAAATTACCAATAAAAAAGGGGGGTGGGGGGGTTGTTAGTTGGATTTTTTTGCTTTTACGGGATATCCACTAACAACACGGTCACAACTCCACCTTGCGCTTTCCGAAGCCACCCCAAGTCTTTTATCCCACTTGAACCCATGGGATTCATTGAACCCATGAACGCCTGGGAGCTCGGCCCTGGGAACCAGGGAAACTCGGCCTAGGGCACGGCGCTCCCCGCTCCATGCCCCGCTCCATTCCATGCCCCGCTCCATCCCCAGCTCCACTCCCCGCTCCATTCCATGCCCCCCTCCATCCCCCGCTCCACCCCAGCTCCATTCCCCGCTCCATCCCCCGCTCCATCCCATTCCCCGCTCCATCCCCAGCTCCGTTCCCCGCTCCATGCCCCCCTCCATTCCCATCGCGCCGCCCCGGAAGGCTCCCAGCCTCATCCTGTTTGTGTCAGTGCCCGAGCAGGCGCTGTCCGAGGCAGCAGGGCTCGGCACCCACCCCCAGCACTGCTGGGAGGGCTCCGTGCCCCTTTCCCGGGGATTAACACCCGCTGGCGTGCCCGCAGCGAGTTTATCGAGCGATGCACAAACACATCGGGTGATCACGGGTTATTCTGCCTTCATGCAGGAAGAGATGCCCAGCCAGCTCAGGGCTGGAGCTGCCAGCAGGGAACAGCAACGCTGTCAAAGCGCTTTTTGGAGGGACCCTCCTGGTGCTTTCCGTGCGTTCAGAGCAGCCTTCTCCCCGCAGCCACCCCCACTCCTTACCACCAGCACCTCCTGCACCAGCAGCTCCCAGCGCCGCCCAGTCCGGGACCGAGGGAAAGGCGAGGGATGGCCGGCACCGCCCCCGGGACCGCCCAGCCCGGGGTATCGGGGGTAAAGTCCTGCCGGCAGCCTCTGGAGGCTCAATCCCACCGACATCTGGGACGGCAGAGCCGAGCCTGAGCCTTTGCACAGCTCTGTGGTTATTAATTACAGAGTTACAGCTTTCAAAATGCCCACGGATCCTGGGAATGCTCAAGCCGCCCCCACGTCTCAGCAGGCAGATGCAGAGCCCAGAGGATGCTGCGAGGAGCAGAACAGGATTCAAATGCTGCCGGCAGCCAAAACCATACACACAGAGCTCTGTCTGTGCTGAAGTCCCCTCCTGGTGTCCAGCAGAAAGAGAAAATGCAGCAAGAGCCCCCAACAGCAGCACTTTAAGAGCTTAGAGTGTTGGTATTTCTGAACTAGGCAGTTTGCCCTGATTCAGGGCAGGATTTTACCCCTTCTTCAGGAGAGCAATGTTAATTCCCTGCAGCTGAGGCCAACGGAGCCGTGGTTTGGTGGAAGCACAGTCCCTTCAGTTTGTACTTTGCACACCAGTCATGGGTCCATGCTAATTAGCACAGTCTTTAAGCCACTCCTAATTTTAAGAGAAATCAGTGAACTTACTCAAGACTGAAGACAGAGGCTTGAAGCAGCTTGCTAAATCAAAGCATGGGCTGGAGTTCCTGGGCTTGTGTCCCGAATATTTTATCATGCAGGGGTGGTACCTGCACCAAGAGAAAATACCACAAATCACCAGAGACCCCTGTGTTTTCATAACGTGGCTCTTTGGGGTTTGTACACCCCCATTTTGCCTGTATTTTGCTGAGAGCACCTCTGCAGACAGGAAGAAATGATGTCCCAGGCTGTAAAGGTGGTAACTGCACCACTTAATCAGTGGCTTGTCTTCGTTTTCTTCTGTTTTCATTCAGAGTCAGGATTAAAAACACAAAGGAGACAAATTTCTCATGTTCGGGCTTGGTGGTTTATTAAATCTTATCTAAAGTACAGAGAGTTGTGCAACACTCCTAGCTACCAGCTAGAAGTGAGCAAAATGGAGATTAATCTAGCTGCTACAAGGTCTCTTAAAGCTGAACAGTCCAATAGAGAATTAACACCTGTATTATTTATACTTTTGACCCAATTACCAAACCCCTGTGACCCTCAGTGCAGCACTGACTGTCCAACCAGAAACTACTGCCTGAAACCATGGAGAAGAAGGAAGAAGACAGGTAAAGACAACAACCCAAATTTCTCCATCTTGTCCCATACCTATTACTGTATTCTAAAAACCTCAAATTCCAAACCCTTCACCATGTGAAGTCACACACTTCTATTTCACTACACACTCATGATTTTAACTCCATCACTCAAATTTGGAGCCTTCTCTGAGGCCTGAGGTCAAAAGTAGTGTTCTCCTGGGGGTCAGTGCCAGAAAGCACAGAAAGCTCAAAAATCCCAGGTTTTTGGGATCCAACATCAGGCCTGAGTCACCTGCCCTGCTCAGAGCTCTGGGCTGCTCTCATGGGCAGTGCACAGGAGATGTTTAGCTGGGGCTGCAGCTGACACCAAACATGAGCAGGAAAAGAAAACAGCAGCCAGGCATAGGCTGTGAATGGCACCAGGCCTTTCCCAAGCACTCCCAGCCTTTGGAACATCAGACTGCCCTGCCTTGGACTCCATCTCTGTTGTGCTCCCCAAGGAACAGCTGCTCTCCAATTGCCCTGCACCATGCAGAAATAAATTGGTCTCCTCAAGATTTGGGTTGCTGAGCCTTAGGCCAAATGTGGGTTTAAACACCAGGCACAGAGAATCAGACACTGCCCATCATCCCTGCCTGCCCACTTACTAAATCCAAAGGAATGCCAAAGTGCCCTGGGGTCTTCCCAAATTGTTCCCCAAACCTTCAGACCCTGTGGATTTTCGTTACATAGCAGGGTCCTGGATTAATAGACCTTCGTTGGGAATGCATCTCACTCTGAAACTTATTAAAACTGAAAAAAATGAATCAATCTATTTTAATAGAAAAAAAGGCCAAAGGATGCTCCTGCCAGACCTCCTGTGCCCATTGTTTTTTTTTTACCAACAGTTTTACCTCTGGATGGATTGCTTGGAGCTAAAGGAAGGGGAGGCAAATGGCACCATTACTCTGCTGCATTCAATTTACAAATTTAATTATTTTAAATTTCATTTCAACTTTGATTGACTCAGAAGCTTTTTGCTGGACCACACAAGAGGGAGAGTACCCACAGGGCTGGGGTCCACCTCCCCATCCCCAGGATCCTCTGGAAAAGTCAGTGATATTCCTCCTACCTTGTGGAAAACTTGATTTGGTTTTAAGATTCCAGTAAGGCTCGAGGGACTCTCCTCTGTTTATTTGTTCTCTGATGGAAAAGGAACAAGATTTATTATCACAACGAAGAATAAAGGGATTTGGAAAATAGTTGGTATTTCTTCAGTGATCTTTTTAAACCTAGAGGGTTCAGACTTTAAATTAATGAAGAATATAATTCTCTTGTCTTAAAAGCAGTGGGGTATAGATAAAGTTCCTTGTAGGAAGGGAGTTATCCACGAATCAGGGATGTCTCTGTTGATGTGTTAGATCTCAAAATGTTAGCTGGCATCGGGGCTATCCCTGACTGCTCCCAGGAAAAATCAGTGTTTGTGTCCAAAAAAAGCCCAGATGAACAAGAGAACTGGATGATCAGCTGGAGAGGGGAGGGAGAAGGGAATTCCCGCAGCAGTGACTATTTTGGGAAGCGCATCCGTGCAATTCCGGATCCTTGCAGTCGCAGCGGCAGCGGCTGGTGATTGTCGTGCTCCAGCGCACAAAAGGCAGGAAATGGAGGGGAAATAAAGGGGAAATAAAGGCAGGCAGGGACACGCTCAAGGACAGAGGAGGAAGCCTGCAGAGGAGAGCATCCTTGGCTTTGCAATCCTGCCTCGCCCCTCGGCTCATCCGGCCATGAATCCTGATAATAAATAAATGCCATAAATTCCTGATGGAATGAGTGACGGGCAGCGCGGGAGGAGCTGGGAGCAAAGCCCGGCACTGGGGGCTTCCAGAAACAATAACAGCGAGCCCTTCCCCCAGCATTTCACCTTTTAATTCAGGAAGATGGGAAAGCTGGTTGTGGAGCCAGTGAATTAAATGAAATTTAGAGGTCACCTGAGAATCTGTGGCCGAGCAGCCTGAGATCTCCCATTCCCCACGCAGGGGCTGGATCTGCTGCTGATGAATTAACAATTCTGGAATAAAAAAGAGGGAGAGAAACGTGAGCTCAAAATGATCTTAATTCACCTTTCCTTGCATGCACACGCTGGGCACGAGGGTGTAGTAGCTGATATTATTATATCTGCTGGCATAAGCATAAAGTCCAGTGGCGTCAGGAAGCTGCTGTGCTAAAATTAAACAACTCTTGGGGATGTGCGTGGCCAAACCAGGCTCAGAGCAATTAGTCTGGGTCTGGCCTGATGCCTGATGGGCTGCTCTGAAATGCAAACAAATTTGTGTTTGAAATACAAACGATTAAACAAGATCCAGGACCATATTAATTCAGACTTTAAGCTTTTCCTTCTTGGGGTCCCAGCCAGGCATGTGATAGGAATGTAAGACAGTGAAAGGAATGAGAAGGAGTCTCATTCTCATTGTCTTTACAAACAAACTGTGGGTTTGATGGTAGACAAGGCCAGATACAGGGAGATGAAAGAAGCAATTGGGGGGAAACATCAATTCCATAGGAATTAATAGGAATTCCACTAATTGACACAGACATAGACTGTTACTCACTCAAGACTGTGCTAAATCTCTGGGTTTAGAGAAAAAGAAAACAAATAAAAATAAAAAAAATGTGTGTGGGGGTAGTATACATTAGAAGGGGTCTTAGTTATTAGGCTCTTCGGGGAGTCTGTGCCTTTTAAGTACTTCAGTGGGGAAAGAGAGGGGGAAATGCAGGCAGGAAATTAGGA